GGTTGCACGCCTTGTCCAATTAGTGTGTAGGCGTCATGCACGCGCGCGCCAAAATGTGAAGCGCGATGGGAAGGATTTTTTAAAAATGTATTTTTATACATTTACGTAGGGAGGGGAAGCGTTCCTGAAAGGTGCCACGAGGAATACCGAGAAGACGTAAATCGAAGCGGTTTGCGGGGTAGGTGGCGGAGGAGGTGGCGACGGATACCGAGAAAGGACGGACGACGCTGTCAGCGACGTGAGTGTGTGGGGGTCGAGGCGACGCAAATCATCGCGTAGTGGTGTTAATAATAAAGTGACGGACTTTCTATTCCTGAATTTGCAAAGACAAATTGTGAGCACATCAATACTCTTTTGTTTTATATATACTTCTGACCCATGGTTGAAAGCGTTCACGCGTCGGCTCCGTGTGTCCGCGTGTAATCGTCAGCGCGGCAAAGTCTCGTAACGTTGAACCCAGGACGATGGCAACTTAAGTGGCGAAACGTTGTGCCGCTGTTACTGATGCACGAGATTGAACACCTGGCCAAATTGTCCTATGGGTTCCGAAACCACTTTTCAGACCGAAAAAACCAAGGTAAAATGAAATCACAAATATGCAACAAAAATGCATTCACCCAGACAACCGCTGCAATTAAATACTCCCGAAAAAACGCAAGGTAACGGTTGGAAACTACAAGTGACGCGCACGGTGAAGCTTTTTGCGAGAGCAGCCGTATTTGTTGCATAAACAGCCTGAATAGAACGCACGACTGTGGGGGTACTGAGGCTCAATTATAACGCAGGTGACTGCCAAACACATAACAAATTGGCCAACTGTGATACTTACCAAGACATTTTTCAGCAGCAGCAGCTGGCAACGTTTCAGTGAGCTGACGATCCAATTCTCGGCAAAGCGGAAATACCTCCCGGCGTTCTCGTATGACATTAAGGCAGAGCTTCAATGACATAAAAATCTTGCCCTCGAATGCAGTGCCGGCAATGCGGCATTCATATCGCGGGGAAACCCAGAGACTCTGCTCTCATTGTCTATTCCATTTCAGATTTATATAGCAACGCATCAATGCGGCTCTCCGTGACGGCAAGCCCCCCGTCTCGTTAATGTAACAAGCGCAGGAGTCAAGGTGTTCTTGTGGGAAAATTGCGGCTTTCCTTTCATCAAGCCCCATGTGAGACGAAGCCAATTTAAACCGTGCTTTTGTACAAATCTGCGACCCCGCTTTCGAAATTAGCATTTTCTTTGAAAGCGCACACGTCAAGGATGCTGTCGGAGTGTGAAGCCGCCGCCCCCAGGGTTGGACAGAATGGGTTCTCAGCGATACGGCTCTTTTTCAGAAGCGACCCTGACCATCACAAATGATAGCTCAACGAAGTGGCTGATCTTCATCACGTGGAAATTTATAGCGGCAGCCAAACACTCGAAACGCATGTTTCTAAATGTGGAGGTAAAAACCCGGAGAAGAATCCACGTGGCCACGGGGGGAGAGACACTCAAGCTCCAAATATACAGCAGCAGGCGTTCAGGTTCGGGATCGAACCCACGACCTCCTGTATAGGAGGCGAGGTAGTTAACATCTCCTAGCCACCGTGGCACCGTTAACAAGTCATGCGCGCAGGATGCGATGTGCGAAGTCATTGTGGGAGGATGGATCCTACGGTCACAATTGCACCGTAAGTTGTCGAGGTATCACAACCGCTCATTTATTATTACCATGACGCAAGCTGCTACCAACGAATATGCATAATTAAAGACGTAGTATATATGATGTTACATTATATAATATCTATTCATCTTTATAAAGGGCACACTTTCTTACAAGCATACTCAGTATGCTTAAGTATTAATAGTCCAAATGATACACAGAGGGCCTGGCTTTGGGAGAACAGTATTAGACAATCATATACATACCCCTCAACCCACATGGTTTACCCCGTATTCTTGTACAGGGCAATTGAGTTTTCAGGTCCATACGGCGTACACCCGTTTCAATACGGGCAACAACAAAAAACACTTAGTCTTTTTGTGTTTCTCCCTTCTGATGGGACTTTGTAGGATGAACGTTGAGATTTATAAGGTGCACGGGGTGACCAATAAGGTCTAAATTGGTCTGTAATAAGGTAATGGTTTGACAGGTATTGCCTGTGTAGTGACGTAAATGAAGTCACTATGGCGTTCAGCACCAGCTACTGTCAAAGTGAAACTGTGCGTCTTGAGCTTCTCTCTGGCACCAGAGTAGGTATGGCATGGAAGCGGGCCCTAGGGGGCATGGTTCTGGTGGCAGTCAGAGAGAGGGCAGTTGAGGACGTGACAGTCTGGGTGAACCCGAGAGGGCACGTGACCTGGACAGGGTAGCGAGGGAGCCCAAAGGGAGGCTTGAGGGACACGTGATGCTCGGTCGAGAGGCTTCTGGTGAGATCCAGAAGGGGGCGTGGCCGAGGGCAGAGCGAGTCCACGCTCGGGAGCATAAAAGGGAGGTCCTGAGAACAATCGCGGCTGTCTGCTGAAATGGAACCCGTCGGTGCTACGTCTCTTCGATCCTCGGTCTTCGGTCGTCACGCTCGGCATCGTGGGTCAGGCAGTGTGTTAGCTTACTGACCCGGTTATGTCGTTACCCCGATGTGGTGTAGTTAACTGTGATCGCTGTAACGTTTAAGTTGTAGCCCTGTTGGGGCCGTGTAATAAACGTGTTGCCTCCAAGTTCAAGTGTGTGCCTCCGTGGAACCCACTACACATGAATATTCAAACAACTAAATGACATCGGTCATGCATACCATACTCTTATTAAATATAATGTATTTATAATCGGGTAAGAGCCCAATAAAAGATGGTGTTTAATTTATGTGTAAACATTTAATGAACACGTCTGTTAGTCCTTTTTCCAACAAAGGGATGTCCACAGAGCGTCCGGTCCACGAGTTTGCAGTCCTTTCTGTCCTGCTGGTCTGACTGCTGGGCTAAATGAACCTTGCGGCGGTACCCCGGGTACCATAGTTTCTCGGCTCTCGCATAATGTCCGTGATGCAGTCATTTTTAGTCCGTTGATGGTCGACTCATCTCGACGAGCTGTACACCACGATGATGCACCACCGCTACGGTGCGTACGAGCGTTCAGGGTTTCGGCGCAATGGCCCTCGCTGCGTTTCGACATCGCGGAGTGGAACCGATTCCTGATTGGTTGGTACCCCAGTAGCGGAGTGAAGTACACCCCTGGAAAAAATAGTGTCCCAGAATAACACATTTAATTGACCCGGCCAGTTTGTATTATTTGGTACCCCGGGGATCTGCCATAAGGATCAAATTCACGGTGTGCATATAACATTCACTCGTTCTAAGATCATATGTTCACGATGAGATGTGCTCCCAATCTTTCCGCCGAATGGGCTACCCGTTTGTGAACTTGCCGATGATCAATCTGATAGAACGGGACGTGCCGTGTGCCTTTCACAACGGAGACCTTGGACAAGAATACAATCCAAGAGGGCGCACCGTGCGTGTGCGTGCACAGCAGTTGTACACGGCGTGTGTGCAATACATAATTAATTGTCTTTTTCCAGGAATGCGACAGTGTCAGGGCATTTAAATCGGGTGGGTCCTGCTGCATTTCTTGTACTTTGCACTATCATCGTGTTTTTGTAAGGTTTGTTGTTGTAACGTTCTTACACGCCCCCCTCCTGAACATCTGTGAAAAAGAGCTTTATAGCTCATCGGATTCCTCCCGCAGTATAAATACATATTCTGATTCTGCATTCGGATGTCTCACCAACTCCTCTGAGCAGTGCTCTGCCTGTTCAAATAAACCAGAGTGGCCCAAGTCAGCCAGCGCACATACGACGAGGTCCACACAGATGGAGGAGCAATCACCCCACGCGCTGCCCCCGCCATCTCCTCGCTACCGCGCAGCTCGGCGCCTTTGCGGATTTTACGGCACATGCTGACGATGACAATAATCTCAAAGTGTTTCCGCCAAAGTTGCTGGATTCATCTCCGGCTGTACATTATTAAACATTCTGTGCGTAAAAAAAATATTCCGTCTATAACTTATCACTCTGTTGTTGTCGCTTTCTGACCAGCCGCCTACTGGACATTTGTGAAAAAGAGCTTCATAGCTCATCGGATTTCTCCAGGATAAACATTGTGATTATAAACAAGGAATTAAAAAAACATGTAATCGGTATCCCTAGATTTATTGGTGGGAGCTCTTTCAATTCACAAATCCTACTAGCTTTAATGTGACGGAAAATATATTGACCAGAAATAAAGAGTATGTAGGGAGAGAAATGTGAAGATAGAGAGAAATAAATCGAGAAATAGAGTAAGATGAGAGAGATGCAAACATTATGAAGAGGCACAATCATATCAGTTTTCATGAGAGTCATCTGTTAGAATTTGAAACGGAGATAATATTTTTGTATTCTCACGAATGATAGATCCCCTTGAGCTCCACAGGCAATGCGGCTTTCGCTTGGTTTGTTTGCTAATGAATGCGTGTCATCGCCACTGACACCAAAGATAAAGATTCCCCGTACAGCCTTCACAGACTATTGGGGCAAGTGCTGTTAGCGAGTAGCATCTATGAAGGCCGGCACGGCACACGAGGCGGTGGGTGGCCAGCACCACGCCCGGCCGCCTTTGTCTCTCCAGTGGCGATGTTTTAGCCAAATCGCACCGGGGTACTCGTTTGAGGTCGAGTCGAGCTGGGCGAGGGAGGTCCACCACCCACCACTGACACCCACATCGCAGCCAACCCACACGGCTTACCCCGTATTCTTGTAGGGGAAACTAAGTTTTCAGATCCATACGGCGTGCGGCCGTTTCAATACAGGCATGAAAATAATAATTTCAGTAACATTATCTCGTATATTTGTTTACATTTCTCCATTGCGATGGGATGAACGTTGAGATTTACAAGGGGCACGCGGGTGAACAATAAGGTCCGAGTCGGTCTGTAATGAGGCAGGGGGCGACTGACGAGGGGTTGACGGCGATGCACCCACCTCACCTGGGGTGCTGCCCGTGTTGATCCAGTCGGGGTTGACGAGGCTCACGACGGCGAAGACATCAGCGGCGACGAAGAGACAGCCCGCCACGGCCGTCAGTTTATCCATGGGCGGAGAGCCGAGGCCGCCACGGCGCTCATCCCCCCGCGAGAACCCGCCGAAGGCCCCATGCGCGGCGACCCTCGCGGCCGCGCCGATGCTTCCTCCTCCTCCTGCTGCAGCTTCCTCCTGCTGCTTCCTCCTCCTCCTGCTGCTTCCTCCTCCTGCTTCCTCCTCCTGCTTCCTCCTGCTGCTGCTTCCTCCTCCTGCTTCCTCCTCCTCCTGCTTCCTCCTGCTGCTTCCTCCTCCTCCTGCTTCCTCCTGCTGCTGCTTCCTCCTCCTGCTTCCTCCTCCTGCTTCCTCCTGCTGCTTCCTCCTCCTCCTGCTTCCTCCTCCTGCTTCCTCCTCCTCCTGCTTCCTCCTGCTGCTGCTTCCTCCTGCTGCTGCTTCCTCCTGCTTCCTCCTCCTCCTGCTTCCTCCTCCTCCTGCTTCCTCCTGCTGCTTCCTCCTGCTTCCTCCTCCTCCTGCTTCCTCCTCCTCCTGCTTCCTCCTCCTGCTTCCTCCTCCTCCTGCTTCCTCCTCCTGCTGCTTCCTCCTGCTGCTGCTTCCTCCTTCTCCTCCTGCTTCCTCCTCCTGCTGCTGCTTCCTCCTGCTGCTTCCTCCTGCTGCTTCCTCCTCCTCCTGCTTCCTCCTCCTCCTGCTGCTTCCTCCTCCTCCTGCTTCCTCCTCCTGCTTCCTCCTCCTCCTGCTGCTTCCTCCTCCTTCTGCTTCCTCCTTCTCCTGCTTCCTCTTTCTCCTGCTACTTCCTCCTGCTGCTTCCTCCTCCTCCTGCCGCTGCTTCCTCCTCCTCCTTATTGCTATCTCCTTGCTGATATCTCCTTGCTGATATCTTCTTCCTCTCTCCTGCTTTCGACGTCTGTCGGTCGGTCAGCCCAGATTCTTCAGCGGCCCACGGCAGCAGCAGCAGGAGGAGGAGGAAGGAGGAGAAGCAAGGAGGAGGAGGGAGGGGGAGGAGGAAGGGGGAGGAGGATTCTGGCAGAAGCAACCTCAACCCCCTCAGGCACCCCCGGGGTAGCGGGCAGGCGATATCCTGGGTCTGTGTGTGTCTGTGTCTGTATGTGTGTGTGTCTGTGTGTGTATCTGTGTGTGTCTGTGTGTATCTGTTTGTCTGTGTGTGTCTGTATGTGTCTGTGTGTGGTGGGTTTGTTTGGTGGTTGTTGTTGGTGGTTGTGAAGAGGGGGTGGGTGGTGGTGATGGTGGTGATGAACAAGGACAACAACTATTCCCCCGTGCAGGCTCTAGACAGTGCTGGGGGCGAGCGCCACCTACGAAGGCCGGAACAATACACGGCGGGGTGGGTGGCCAGCACCACGCCCGGCCGCCTTTGTCTCCCCTAGTGGTGGACACACACAGACAGACGTCTCAGGCTGGCTTCACCCACTTCTCTACAGCGCAACGTCATCCAAATACCGGGAGCCTCCCCGATACATCGCCAGACCTAAGTCTCCCCAGCTCCACAACACCCCGGCCTGCATCACATCACGGTGGGACGGCGTCCCGCAGTGATGGCTGCTGTCTCGCCGCGTCTCCCTCTCTCACACCCCTTGCTCCTCAGACGTCTGGGATGCCCGGGCGGTGGTGGTGGTGATGATGATGATGCGAGGCGGGGGAGGGAGGAGGAGGACGCGGGCTGGGGGGGGGTCACCAGACGCTGTCACCCTCCCAGCACCTACGGGAGGAAGCTGCGTGCGTGCGTGCGCGCACGACCAACAACCAACACGAGGGGCGCGCGGCACGCACGTGGCGGAGGGAGCGACGCCTCTGCCGGGGCTGCGTCTGTGCGCGCTGACGTCGCGGCCTCTGACGGGTGCTGACGTCACGGCGAGGACCCCCCACCCACCGAGGCGAGGACCGAGGCGTGAGAATGTCGCCTTTATTTATTTATGTATAAATGTCGCCTTTATAAACAACAACCACAACAACAACGCAGACGACGACGCAGACGAAACGGATGCGCCCGGGCATCGCTCCGACTCGGCGGCGTTGAGTCTCCTGCGGTGTCTACTTGACCACTCGCTGCCCGGTGAAGCGCGGTCATCGGAGACACGGGAAGGATAATAAAGTAAACTCAACGACAGAGCACTTCAAACTTGTTGAGATTTCAATCGAGACGATTTAAAAGTGCATCAGGTGCCAGTGGCTTCCTTAATATCGGAAGGAAGAACTTTCCAGACGGCCGCGGAAGCGCATCTGAAAGCGCGCGGCGCAACGTGGCGCACCCTGGTGCACACTTTGTTGAGGGCGGATATTGTTGGCACGTAAAATGAAGATCGATCGATTCTTCTTCTTCTTCTTGTTGTCGTGCTGCTGGTGTAGGCGCAGAGCGACGGCTACAATGCCACGTGCAGGTGGTGAAGCCCACACAGCCGCGTCAGGAGCAGTAGCGGAGGCGTGAATCACCGCTGTGATGTCTCCTTCGGATTTGCGGATCGGGGCGTTGCGTCGTTACACGTTGCACGGTCTCTGTTCTGGATGACCGCGGTCGCACGCTACTGCTGGAGGGTTTTTAATTTCCCATTTGTGCACCATCAGGTAACCCGCATCTACTGCCACGGTTTGTGCGGTGGATGCGGTTTAGGGGTTGACCACGAGCTTAGGGGAAGATCAAACCCAGGGATACCCTGCACTCGGTCTTTCACCAGCAGTGATTGTTCGTGGCTTCTTTTGAACTCCGTTCAGATCTTCCAAGCTTCATCGGGGGTTTAATCGATCGATTGATTAATCGATATATATTGATGACACGCATGGCTTCCTGGCTCGCCCATGTCCCGAGATCGGCAACCTAAGTGAAAAAGAAGAAGAGATGAACACGAGAAGGTGGAGTCCTCAATAAATAAAAATGTACATGTGAAATTATTAATAATTAATTATTGATACTAATTCGTAATTAACATCCCGTAGCGGTTCCTTAAAGGAGCCGCAGTTTGCCCGAAGCCTTCATCCGGTCCAACACCGAAGCGAGTCAAAGTTAGTGGACCATATGGATTTAGACTTCGAGAGCAGCAGCTGAACAGTTGAGACGTCTTGTTGCGCTGGTTTCATCTTCTTTAGGAATCATCGGTGCCATTGGCCACTACTTTCTGCGTGCCTTCGGGGCTGAGGTTGCTATTGTCCCGGGTGAAACCCTCCCATGATGATGGTTATAATCACCGTGGGGAGAACCCCAATACCCGCCTCGAAGCGACGGCGAGGTCACCACGGCGTCTGTGCCAGGCTAGGTGCACGTTGAGGCTATCGCGTGAAGTGTCGAAGGCTCTCGCTGCCGACAGGAGGTCACGGCACAGACCCAGCAGGTGCCATGGGTTGGCCGACTGACGCACCAGCTGCGCTCCCCACTGTGCCAGGCTAGGTGCACAGGGGGGCACGGCACAGACCCAGCAGGTGCCATGGGTTGGCCGACTGACGCACCAGCTGCGCTCCCCACTGTGCCAGGCTAGGTGCACAGGGGGGCACGGCACAGACCCAGCAGGTGCCATGGGTTGACCGACTGACGCACCAGCTGCGCTCCCCACTGTGCCAGGCTAGGTGCACAGGGGGGGCACGGCACAGACCTAGCAGGTGCCATGGGTTGGCCGACTGACGCTGGTGCGAGCGGTGCCCGCTGACGTCGTTGCTACGAAGTCCTCGCACCGCCCCCCCTAGCGAGGCATGTCTATTCTTCTACACACCACACACCCCACCGCCACTCACCCCCCACCACAGCCACCACCACTCACCCCCCACCACCACCACGTGTTGTAGGCGGCCGCGGCGTGAGCGGCCTTCGAGACCCCCCCCAGAGGGAGAGAGGCGCGGGGCCGCTCAGGGCCAGCGAGGAAGTTGGCGGCGCAGGGCCGCACGCCGGGAGGGACCCTCGCCCACGAGGCCTCCGTGACCGATGGCCTCCGCAAGCATCGTCGGCGTCTTCTCCTACGAGAACCTTGTCCATGCGCTGGCGGGGGCGTCGGTGAGTAGGGGGACAGCAGCTCGCACCTTGTTCTTCTTCGTGCTCACACTCCACTGCTGGATGAAGACTGGGTCCCGCGCGCTGTCGTGTTCAGTTCTTTGCCGGGGGGGCGATGTGATGGGGGTGGTTGGTTGACCGCTCTGGTTCGACTGCGCCGGTCCGGTCAGTGCGTGTGTGTACGTGTATATGTGTGTGTGTATGTGTGTATATGTATGTGTGTGTGTACGTGTGTGTATGTGTGTGTATGTATGTATATGTGTGTGTATGTATGTCTGTATATGTGTGTGTGTGTACGTGTGTGTATGTATGTGTGTGTATAGTCAGTCGACCCGTGGCACCTGGGTCTGCCCCGTGACCTCCTGCCAGCGAGCGTTCGACACTTCACGTGGCCTCAGGGTGCACATGGCCTGGCACAAGCGTCGTGGTGACGTCACCGCCACTTAGTGGCGAATGGCGGTTGTTGTTGTTGTGTACGTGTATATATGTGTGTGTGTACGTGTGTGTATGTGTGTGTGTATAGGTGCTCGCTAACAGCACTTGCCCCTACAGTCTGTTTAGGCTATATGGGGGATCTTTGTTGTATGTGTGTGTACATGTGTGTATGTGTGTGGATGTATGTATGTGTATGGATGTATGTATATGTGTGTATAGTGTAGCTATTAGCGCGCTGCGCTATGAACCTGGCGACCCGGGTTCGATTCCCGCCCACGGCCAACAACAGTGACGATGATCTGAACCGGTCCCGGGCCTCCCCTAGGTCGACTCAGCCTCAAATGAGTACCTGGTGCGGTGTGTAAACATTGCCACTAGGGAGACAAAGGCGGTCGGGCGTGGTGCTGGCCACCCACCCCCTCGTGTACCGTTCCGGCCTTCATAGGTGCTGCTAACAGCACTTGCCCCTACAGTTTGTTAAGGCTATACGGCGGAGCTTTGTCTTTGTATGTACAGTATGTTAAACTTCTTTCGCACCGTACGTAGCCAACCGTGACTAATCAGAGGTGCGGGTGAAGGACAACAAACTAAACAGCTTGAAAGTAATGCGTTTTCAATCTCGATTTAAAAGTGCAAAGCTACCAGTGGCTTCCTGAAGGTGGAGGAGGGTGGGTAGCGGTAGTGTCGTGGTTAGCGGCCCGGGTTCCATTCCCGCTCACGACCAATAAGCGGTGAATGTTTGAACCGGTTCTGGGCCTCCCCTACGTGGACTCAGCCTTATAGGAACGGACAAGGAACAGACCGGTTTAGTTATCCCGAGACGGGAGGCGAACTCAGGTGCCAGGTTCACAGTGCAATGCGCTAGTGGACTCAGCGCCGCCGTGGCTCTGAGATGTTAACTACCTCGCCTGGTGTACAGGAGATCGTGGGCTCGACCCTGACGCCTGCTGCTGCTGTATATTTGGAGTTTGCGTGTCTCTCTCTCCCCGTGGTCGTGTGGACTTTTCTCCGGGTCCTCCGGTTTTTTTCAACGTCACGCGTTTAGAGTATTTGGCTGCTATAATTTTTTGTCTACATGATAAGCCACTTCATTGGGCTCTCATTTGTGATAGCCAGGTCGCTTCTAAAAACGAGCTACGTACCTCAGTAGTTGGCCTTACCTGGTAAAATAAAAAATGTTTCACAACTTAACTTGTCAGTTTAACACGTAGGCTTTCGGGAACAATATCCATAATACAGGTTTTTTGGGGGGGGTTATATCGCGTAAATATAAATGTGTCGTGAAACCCGCCACCACCCGACAGAGCCAATTGGTAAGGTTTGTCACGTAAACAGATCATGCCAATCGTTACTAGTGAAGAGGAGACTTGAGATGGTTAAGCAGGATGTTTATTTCAAAGGCAACTCACACTGTACTTCCACTCATCATCGAAAACCAACCCCGAACCCTCCAAATCCTCTCCCTTTATACAGCCCGTATCACCCCCTTCTTTAAGACTCATTCCCTTATTCCCTTCTCGGGCTTTCCGCCCCTTGTGAACCCTCCCCCGGTTCTCTCCCCCTTGCTAATCCTTCTCGGGTTTTCCCCACTCTGTTAATCCTCCTGGGGACAATCCGATCGGAGTGTCCTCCACTCAGCAATCGGATTGCGTGTCGTACACGGCAGCGCTCCCGTGACCCTTAACTCGTGGTTGTGTGGTGTTTGTATGTGAGGATGTCCCAAACATCCTCTACACTGCTACAGCACACCGGTGTGTTAGAGAGCAAATCCAGTTTGTAAATGTTGTGGATTTGCTCGCCAATACACCGGTGTGCTGTACTATGGAGTTTAACTTGTGCTGTGTTAATCAATGTGATCCTCCCCCCCACTCTCCCCTCGCAGGGCAGTGTCACAGCAATGACCGTGTTCTTTCCATTGGACACGGCCAGACTTCGCCTGCAGGGTCAGTTCTTTCGCACGCCGACCCGAAAATAAAAACCCCGTTGGGTCTGCTCGCTCGCTCTCTCGCGCTACGGTCGGCGGCTTCGTTGGGCGCCGTCTCTCACAGCGGTGTCGGACTTTGTGCATCACGAGCAAAAAAAAATGTCAACACGCCGTCCGAGCTCTTGTTTGCGTGCCAAATGCTTGGCTGTTTGGCCACTGTTTTTTTTATTGTTTCCAGTTGACGAGAAGAGAAAATCAAGGTCCACCCCAACTGTTCTGAAAGAGATAGTGCAGGAGGAGGGTTTGTAAGTACCTGCGCTCACAGATGTATTCAGATCGTCATTAACCGTTGCCGCTTAAGCTTGCTCAGGTGGCGCATACATTTAAATGAAGGTTTTGTTTTAATCACTTCTCAAATTGTGAATTAATGTCCCTAATTACAGCCCACATTACAGAGTACATTGTCGTCATGTTCGGAGCTGACGTGGCAAGAATTTCTGTTGGTTTATCTTGCGCTTAACCTTCATGGAGATGATTAACAACAACCTTGTTTGCAGTAGACAATTCTGGTTTCTTAATTGGAATTATCACCCAATTAGCACCAATACCAGGGTGTTACTGATGCAGGCAAAAATACAATTTGCGTGATAGTGTGAAGTTAAAAATACAAACTGACTGCTGGCATTGTGATCTTGTTGTCCCTGTGGTCTGAAATTATCGTTCTTGTTGTTTTGTATCTGTATTAGACAAGCCGTGTACCGGGGATGGTTTCCTGTCATCAGCAGTCTCTGCTGCTCAAACTTCGTTTACTTCTACACCTTCAACAGCCTCAAGACCTTGTGGCTTGACCAGAGAAACAATTCCAGCCCAGGAAAGGATATGCTCATGGGATTCCTCTCTGGTGGGTAGAGGCCCTTTGAACCTTTCTCTCTCTCCCTTCATCGTCGTCATCAATCCGCTGCTGGTTGAATTCCCCCACACGTCACGATTCTACGATGTAACGATCGCCACATTGTACCCGCACGAAAGTGGATTTCATCTCTTCGGCAGATGCCCTCTTGGAATTGTTCCATTCTTGCCGATTGGCCGTCACCCCTTCGAGCGATGTGTCCTGCCCTAGCCCAGTTATGTTTTTTAACCATTTACACCTCGCGGTGGCGAGATGTTAACTGCCTTGCCTGGTGTACAGGAGGAGGTCGTGGGTTCAATCCCGACCCTGATGCCTGCTGTATATTTAGAGTTTGCACATTCTCCCCGTGGTCGCGTGGATTTTTCTCCAGGTCCTCCGGTTTTTCCCTCCACATTTAGAAACGTGCATTTAGAGTATTTGGCTGCTATGAGCCACTTCATTGAGCTATCATTTGTGGCCAAGTCACTTCTCAAAAATAGCTCTATAGCTCAGTGGGCCTTATCTGGAAAAAAAAAATAGTTAACTAGTTAAATTATGTCTTTAATCTGCATAAGTTCTCTAATCCATGCGTTAGGGGCCATCCATTTAGTACGTACACAAAAATCTATCAAAACTTTACCCCTCCCCCCCTACCTGTACGCATGCGTACTTTTTACCCCCCACCTGCGTACGATATTTAATCCACACAGAAACGATCAAGGATTATCTAACTCATTTGAAGGCCAATGTAGACAAATTATTATCGACATTGTCAGTAGACCCCCTCCCCCCCCCATACGCAAGCGTTCGCATTTGGGTTAACCCCCTCTCCCCCCTCCATGCGTACGTACTAAATGGATGGATGGCCTCTTATTGTTTACGTGTCAATGTAATTCCCAATACACGAATTTCTCCGTACGTCCATTGCACACTTTTCAAGATTTCGTGTCTTTCGCCAGTGACCAAATTCATGAACCATCTGTCGAAACAAAGTTTCTGTAATAATCATTATTTCTGTTCACTTACTGAACTTGAACTCGTGCTGTAGAATATTTCTATGACATGTACCCCCAAGCGTGTACGCCGAATGCCCTGTACACACCAAGGAAACATCAGCGGGGCATCTTTATACAGCCAGTCTCTCTGGTTTATTACGGTCTGATTTACCACGATCCACATTCATCACGTTTATGTAACTTGATTTACGACGCAACTTCAGGCACGACTCCCGAATGCATTTGTAACGGAGTCGGTCTGGTTTCTAGACATGACTTGGCGTGGAGCTTTCGTTATTCTCGAGTGACTTTGTGGATCGTTGACCTACGAAAGCCGGTTAAATACGGCCGATAAAAGGAAAAACACATCGGAAAGTGATGTTCCTACCATTTGCACATATGTATGTTGAACTTCTTTCTCGCCGTACGTAGCCCACCGTGCTAATCGGAGCTAGGTCCGGTGTACGACGATCCGATTTGTAACGATAGGGTTTCCAGCAACACGTTGTGACGTCGTTAAAGCGGTCGTGGACTGCCGCCTGTATTTGGCGATGAAGAATCTCTGGGTGTGCATGTGTGCGTGTGCCTTTTCTTTCGTGCAGGCGCTGTGAACGTGTTGCTGACGACACCCATGTGGGTGGTGAACACCAGGTTAAAGCTGCAGGGAGCAAAATTCCGCAACGAGCGCATTGAGCAGACCAATTACAAGGGAATGTTTGGTAAGAAATTACGCGTTGTCTACATTCAAAACTCATTTCTTTAGAAATTATATTTTGTGTTTAGTTTAGTGTCCTTCCCCCGCACCTCCGATTAGCACGGTTGGCTACGTAGGGTGTGAAACAATCTCAAAATACATACATCAGAAAAATGTTCCTTGATGATAACTTCACAGAACTACTCTGAGGTCGATTCAATGAGGCTACTTATTGAAAATACAATCGCATCTCAAAGCTGGTACTGTACTGAGGTTTCATTTTGGCTCGTGTCCTGCTTTTGCCTCAAAAGAAACCCAAGGTTTGCCGGGGCACTTCCTGCATTCGTAAATGATTGAGTACAAAATTCAAGTAGATTCAACACAGGCTTAAGTATATATTTCTCAAGTAATTTCCCCCCCTTAAACGTGTCTCTGTAGTGCAATGAAGTCCAGTGGCATGAACATTGCCGGTCCTTACAATGCGCGGGGGAATACTGCCACGGTGTCATGGTTAGCACAGCGGACTTCAACTAAATAAAAAAAGTTTTTTTATTTTCCCAATAAAGGCCTCGCTGAGCTATGTAGCTATTTTCCAGAAGCGACCTGGCTGTGACAAATGAGAGCCCAACCAAGTGGCTTATCACGTGGAAAGTTATAGCAGGCAAATACGCGTGTTGATTATAAATTCGGAGGGAAAAACCGTAGAGAAATCCACGCGACCATGGGGAGAGAGAGTGAGAGACGCGCAAACTACAAATATATAGCAGGCGTCAGGGTCGGCATCGAAACCACGACCTCCTGCATACCAGGCGAGGTAGTTAACATCTCCTCGCCACCGCGGCGCTCCTATTGGTGGGATGATGGAGAGAGCTCAACCGGCCGGATTGGCTGCAGCCTCTGCTCCCGTGCCACGCTTTTAGTAAGCATCTCCTAGCCACCGCGGACCCTGCAATTCGGAGGGCCGCCGGTTCGTTGTCGTCATTGTGTGGCTGGTGTAAAAAAAAAACAATTGCAGGGCTGCGCCTTTACCTTCGACTGCGTGCTGTGGCGCTTCCTTTTCAGATGCCTTCAGGCAGATAATAGAGAAGGAGGGCGTGAGGGCCCTGTGGAACGGCACGCTGCCCTCCCTCGTCCTCGCCTTCAACCCTGCCATCCAGTTCATGGTTTACGAAGGCCTCAAGAGGCAAGCCGCCTCTGGCAAAATCAAGGTCACTGCATGCAATGATAATAACGACGTCGTAACTGCAAAACAAAAGTAACCTTTTTTGTTGTTTAGCGCATACCTTTTTATTTAAAACCGCGGTTCTACGATGCGTTTTCAGGTCATACCGCGCGTTCGGCGCGGTGTCCGACGTTTCGCTGCACGCGCCGAGAGCTTCCTCAGGAACTGAACTGTCGGACATCGTGCCGAACAATGCGCGGTGCGACCCGGAGAGCCGTGCGGCAAAAACCGCGAAAAACTACGCAGCAGCGACATTACCCGTTTCACAATACGCGGTGTAACGCATCGTCACACTCAATGTCCTGCGTGGGTTACGACTGCAGTCATTTGTAATGTTGTCTCCGACCTTAAGCTGCCCTTTGGTTGCAGCTGAATGCAATGGACATCTTCATCATCGGAGCCATCGCCAAGGCGATCGCCACCACCGCAACGTTCCCGCTTCAGACGGTGCAGTCCATACTCCGGGTACGGCAACTCTGTGGCAAACCCTCTGCACCATGTGGTCATCACTTACAGCGTGACTTATGTAGACTCGTGTTCAGTTGAGATATAATGTGCGTGCATACGCACAAGGAAAGTCCTCGCTTAACGCGTGGTGTTCACTCTAGAACTCGTTTTGGCTATAACGTGGTTCTTCCATGAGGGAACACTTTTCACACTGCACGTTACAACACGGAACATGCACCGTTATAACACGCACCATTATAATGCGAACTACTTTCTCGAGTTGCGTGGCTGAGCGGAGCGATACAGTACGCGGAATCATACAGCAACGTGGCGGCGTGCCGTCGGTTATTTGTTCCGCTACCTCATTGCATGCGCGTAGCAGTACATCGTATCTTGCCAAACTTTATCATTACAATATTTTTGGGGAAATAGTTTTCGCTTTATGCGTTTTTCACTTCACGCGGCACTTTTCAGGAACGCACCTACTACCCCATTAGACGAGGGCTACTGTACGTTAATCCCACCTCCGATTAGCGCGGCTGGCTACGTATGGTGCATAAGAAGTTCTACATACATACAAATTAAATTATAATTATTTTACACGTTGGGAATAAAAATATCAACGTTTCGTATCACAGCCAGCTGGACTTAAGGAAAACTTCCTGTGTGTAGGTGTGATCCATATATCCCCTCTGAGTTCTGCTAAAAGTCTACCCTTCGTCTCTCCCCATCACCATCTCTTCAAGTTTATTAAATCCGTGTTGTCCGTTGCGTTGTCAATAACTCGCTTGACCAGGGGTTGGCAACCCGCGGCTCTTTGAGGACTGCTTCTTGACGTAAATAATTATTAAGGACCACCGTCTTGTATTCATAACGTGTATTGTGCGGGCTCTTCAAATACCAAGTTGTTGTTTTTTACCGAATTAGAAAAAATCTGGCCCTTATTGTTATCTTGCTTGTCGACCCCATGAGTTAGACAAACATGTAAATTGGTAGGCGTGCTCATCGAGACCGTGGGAAAGGAACGGGATTGGAGTTGGGAAAAACCTGACTCTTGAGTAAGAGATGTCGGGCACGATTGAGACTTGACTGACTTGACGTGCCTGACTTGATGTCTCAGTTTGGACAGTATGAAAGTGGGAGCAGTTCGGGGGTGTTGGGAAGCCTGAAGAACATCCTGCTTCTCATCAGCCAGAGGGTCAGGTGAGGTGTCCATCACACAAAGTGTTCAAAACATGAAGATTCGCAACCATGTAAATACTCGTATGAAGATGTTTATTACACAACTGCCTATTGTTTTGTATCTACTAGCTTGCAAAAGCTAGTTTGCAAACAACAACAAAAACTCATTGTATTTGGCATTGTCTTTTGCTCCAGTGTCTTAGACCAATGGTGCAATCCATTTATATGACCCTGTGTTTTCCCTTCCCACAATCTAGAAAGCAAGGTGTGGCCGGCCTCTACAAAGGATTGGAAGCCAAGCTGCTGCAAACTGTGCTGACCGCAGCACTGATGTTTGTCCTTTACGAAAAGATTGCTGCCCTGACCTTCCGCATCATGGGCCTCAATTCACAAGCCACACGCTGACATTCCTTCGACCTGTGCCCTCCTCCTGTCGTCGTCATCATCATCATCACACACATCGAGGGAAACAGCAGCAGCATGTTAACTACCTCGCCTGGTATACAGTGTTCGATCCCAACCCTGGTGCCTGCTGTATAACTGGAGTTTGTACGTTCTCCATGTGGTCGTGTGGATTTTCCTCTCCACATTTATAATCAACATCACCCTTTTAGAGTATCTGGCTGCTATAAATTTCCACGTGATAAGCCACTCCGCTGAGCTGTCATTTGTGGCTAGGATGTGTCTGAAAAAGAGCTACGTAGCTCAGTGGGCCTTTAGTTTCAGTAAAATAACGACAAATACATTCCTATTGACTTGTGAATGTTCACAACTTCAGTAGTAGACTCGATTATCCACGTGCAGTTAATCTGATTTGCGGATTAATCGCGCGCCTGAGATTTTGACAAATTAATAACTCGTGGATTTTCCCTTCCGCCCATATTAATAATCCAAAAATATTTATTGTTATTCTTTGAAATGTTTATGACAAATTAGGTGCTTAAATCGAACAAATATGCACTCTGGTTAATCAGACATCCATGTGATCGCCTCAACAGCACAGTAGTTTTTGAATTAAAGCTTGCGTGACTGCAGGGATTCATATTCTTGGTTCTTTTGGTAAAGTCATGTAGAAGGGAAACAATAAAATAATAAAAATATAAAACAATAAAATTCTCACGACGTTTCGACTGCAACACAAGCAATCATCATCATCAGGTGTGAAAACCACAGCAAGAAAATTTGAAAAAAGTGGCGTTTTTTTTTTAACCTTGGCACCACGGAGAGCGATTTGACAGTTATTCAGATGGACGAGTCCATCTATGTTCGGAAAAGAGGAGGGGGGAGACGAAAATAATGAATGCGGTCTGAAAGCCACCGTAAGCGTGAACAATCAATTAAGACCTGAAATGGTTTATCAGATCCTTCCAATGATTGCTAAGCCAGAAGCCAGAGGTTCTCTGCAAGCCATCGGGCTACCATGAGAGATTCGTTCATGAGGCTATCCACATATACAAACAGAGACAATTTCAACTGCCAAATCGCTCTCCGTGGTGCTAACGTTAAAAAAATCGCCACTTTTTTCAAATTTTCTTGCTGTGGTTTTCACACCTGATGATGATTGCTTGTGTTGCAGTCAAAACGTCGTGAGAATTTTACTGTTTTAAATTTTTATTATTTTATTGTTTCCCTTCTACGTGACTTTACCGAAAGAACCAAGAATATATATAGTTACAGTAGTTGTAATATCTTTACAATGGTGGGCGGAGTTTGATGTTGATTGGCGTGGCACTGCTGCTGTCCACTTAGTGGGCCGAGTCTTCTGCTCCGGGAGCAGGAAAGTGTTGTCACTGCACACTCATCGATCGGTCGATTGGTATTATTCGTTCTACATTGAAAGAGCAAGCATCAAAATCTGTCAGTTGTGCTTCATTTTGAGTGATTTATCTGATAATTTATTTTGTGAGTTTTAATTTATACCTATATCAGTGTTTTTTGGCATAGACATCCGCGGCAAATGGTTATATGATTGGATTATCAGTGATTTTGAATTATCCGCGGCCGTCCTCTCCGTCATTCGCGCGGATAATCGAGTCAACCGCACTTAAATATATTTCTAAATCACTGTTGCTGAGCACAGTTGGCCACAGGCCCAACACACCAAGTGGTCAGAAACAAAGAGCACTATTGAAGGTATAGATAAAGAGTGAATACATTTCTTGAATTTTCTTAGGTTATAAGAACTTGGAGGGGGGCGGGGAAGACAATGGGTTAGAATTCCAAACTGGATCAGTGCAAAGAACGAATCAAGAACAGAAGTGGTTTGACTGATGTGCTGGCTGGACGAGGTGCGTTCTCAGCGTGGGTGGAAAAAAATCAGAGTGAAGTTCACGGGAACGCTAACAATGGTTTTAGCCATAGAAGACTGACCACCAGTCAAACTAATTGCTTGAAAATAAATCTTAACAGCTTAACCTGACCCAAACAGTATTACTGTATAGGTGTACATGATCTTGTCCTACATTGATATATTGCAGACTGTAACATTTCTAAAGCTTAGTGAAGGAATTTTTTTTGGCGTTGCTGATCTGTAGCCTAAAACTTGGAGACTAAAGCAAAAATGTAGATGCTTACAAATGAGGTAGCTGCACACTAGTCTACAGCATAATGCTATTTGAACACTGGACATACTTTAGTGTGGATGAAGTTGTTAGTAAAAGTTTGAATAGCCTAGCGGTTAGTACATTTGCCTTTGGGCCAGTGTGTTCAAAGTCTGGAGTGAAGTTCCTTTGCCCTCCTAATCCCTGTGGGGAATCGTGAAAGCACGCTCGTGCATTATAAAGGGAATTGTCTGCACTTGAGAGTACACTGTGTTCCAGTGTCATAGTCCGAAGTTTATACGGCAACACCATGTACGGACCTTTGTCAATCTGCTGCTGGCCAATGCGGGTTAGTGAAGTGTAGAGATATGGCTTGCTGCTACAGAGCTGTGGCTATCAATGAAACTCGGGTCGACAGGTTGGGGTCGACAGATTGGGGTCGCAGTTTGGCTAACCCCTGCGCCACCACTCCCACGACAGCCCTAGTTTGCAACTTGAAAAGTATCACGTAATGTAAAATGTCTTGGGTCACTGAAGCTCTTTCGACAGATAATGAAGAATATCAATAAATACATTATAATTGACTTAACTCAATTATTTTAAGTGCTACGGCAGGAAAGTAAACTTGACAAATAGGTAGAGGTGCATTTCTAGGGTCATGAATTTTACATTCCATATTTGTAACATTTTTATTTTGTTGAAATATTAATTGTGCTTCCGTGCCATTTAACCAAGCGTTTGCTGAATAAACAAATGAACACGTCGCGCTTTGATTCTCGTTGATATCATCCACGCACATAGCGAGCGCCTGTCACCCGAGAAGCGCAGCGCGGGGAGCCGTGGCGAGAGAGGCCGAGGGAGGGGGAGGAGGAGTCGTGTGCCTGGAGCTGTCGGCGAGGGTCGGGCGCGTGACGTCACAGGCCCCGTGAGGGTACATGACGTCACCAGCACGTCTTAGGAAAGTGGCGTCATCTTCTCCGCGAAGCTGCATGACGTCATGAGCTCTGTGAAGGTGCGTGACGTCACCTTTCCCTGAGAGGGGAAGTGTCACATTTTCCTGAGGGTACGTGACGTCGCTTGCTCCGTGAGGGGGGAAAGTGACGTCGGCTTCATATTTAACGGAAGTGACGTCGCGTAACCCTTCAGGTCGCGGCCTGGCGGGAGAGCTGAGGGTGACGCCGCTTGTGGCTGCCATTGGATGTTTGTTTGTTGATGCGCGAGCCTCTGCGCGTGTTTACTCGTCTCCTCTTGCGTTCGCGCGCGCATGTGTGCGCGTGTGTCTTTTTTGGGAGGTAATTGCTATGCTTAGCGTACAGTAGCGGCTGTCGAGAACCCCGGAGAGGATTTTTGGCTGCGTGTTTGGGAGGCGGTTCAACAATCAATCACCTTCATCACGGCCTAAACATCAACGTCGTCAGCATCATTGGCAGCATCACTGCCAGCATCGTCAGTGCCAGCAAGCAGCAGCATTACCCGCTTCAGCAGTCATAAGCATCAGCGTTATCAATCGCCATCAGCAGCACTATCATCAGTGGTACAGATAGTAGCGACATCGTGACCATCACCAGTGGCAGATCATCGGCAACACCAGCAGTTGTAGCACCGTACTTAAAAAAATAAACACAATTGTCATCGCTGTTCTTCTGTACAACAATTTGCGACCTCCGGGAGAAAGGTGCTTTAAAAGTTTAAGCTATAATCAGCACCACCCCTGCAGGGAACAGCCGCCGCCATGAACGTGTCCAAGGCCGACTGCATGCTCTTCTCGGCCAACTCCAACCCCGCCTGCGTGGAGCTGGCCCGCAAGATAGCCGAGTGAGTAGACTCCCCACCCTGCCTGAGTGGCACCACCAGCCCGCACTCGCCACCAGCCCGCACTCGCCACCAGCCCGCACTCGCCACCAGCCGGCACTCACCACCAGCCCGCACTCACCACCAGCCCGCACTCGCCACCAGCCCGCACTCGCCACGTGGTGAGGTATGGTCCAAACAAAAACCCAGTGACCGACACGGTATGGTAATACAGCAGTGGATTGACAAAAGGCTGTGCATTTTTAAATGTAATTCGGTGGGTGGTGGGAGATGAGAGTTGTTGATTGTAGTGGCGATACAGGGCGAGCGAGTGAGTGGTGGACGTGTGCGTGAGACCAAAAGGAATGAATGGGGTCGTGGATCTACTACATTGGCAGTGTCGGTGTTGCTGTAGGTGGAAGAGGAGGTATAGTGTATGCCCAAGCAGCGTCTGTTTGGCCGGATTGAGGGGGTTAAACGGGTAAGATACGGGCTGGAGAAGAGGGTACGGGAGGATGTGGAGCTGAGCGGACTTGCCAATGACTGGTATCAGCGGTGTTAAGACCGGCCTTTATGGAGGAGGATCATGAAGGACGCTACTGGGCCATAGTTGGAGGCAGTCGCCCTCCCAACAACGGAGAGCAGAGGAGCGACGCTCACAACAACGAGCGGTGGGCCGGGCGGTTAAAGTGCAGGAAGTATGCACAGTAGGGGGCACATCTTGCCAGTCATCTCAGTCAACCCGTAGCACCTGGGTCTGTCTCGTCACCTGTCAGCGAGCCTTCGACACTTAAGTGATAACCTCAAAGTTCACGTGGCCTGGCACAGGCGCTGTGGTAACGTCACCGTCACATCGTGGCGAATGGCGGGTATTGGTATTTGAGGTACCGTAGTGTAGTGGTGAGACTGGAGCTGGAAGTGTAGAGGATTAGGTGCACGCACTGAGGACATTGGTAGAGACGAAGGAGAAAGACGAGAAGACCGTGGTTGGTAGTTAACGTAGAAGAAGCCTATTTCAGATTAGGCGGCAGGGGGGTGGAGGAGTGAATGAGTGGTGTCGAGACGGGTTCAAGGGAGATGCCAGGAGGAGGTATAGTGAAAGAGACTGGGGGATTGATGGAGGAGCTATATAGCGTTGAAACTGGTGTTGAGGGGGGGGGGGTGTTGATAAAGTAGTGGTGAGACTGGGTGATTGGTGGAGCAAGGTAGAGCGGTGGTGAGACATTGGGAGTTGGAGGAGCATGCGAGGAGTGGTGAGATTGGGCTTGGAGGAGAATGGAAGTGCGGCACTTTCACTTTCCCCCCCCCCCCACCATCAGCAAATCGTACTGGCCACGACCCGCAAGGTGTATGTATGTATGTTCGTTGACCTTCTTTGGCACCACACGTAGTCAACCGTGCTAATCGGAGGTGCCGGGGGGGGGGGGGAAGCCTTCCATCGATCAGTTGGATTTACATCTACACGAGAAATAAAAAAGCCCGAGGGATCTACAAGGGTGGGTTATTCGGTGATGTGCCTTTGTGAATCAAGAGCTGTGGCGCATAGCGCCACTGGGCTAAAAGGTATTCAGACTTGATTTGAAGCTTTCGTGACTGCAGGGATTACTCTTTGTTTTTTTCGGTAAAGTCACGTCTAAATAAGAAATAATAAAATAACATAATAGCGTGTGTTTTGACCGACCGTCTGTGTTGCTTTACATGGTTTCCAAAAATTTTGCTAAACCCTGTTTGTCTGGTATGCTTTTATCTCTGTGTCCCCTGCTGTATCTGTGTCAGTTCCCCCTACTTGGGTGTCTGTATATACATCTGAGGTTATGTGTCTCCCCTCTCTCATAATTTAGCTCTTCTGTACCTGATGATGGCTGCTTCTGTTGCAACCGAAACGTCGCACGCTATTATGTTATTTTATTATTTCTTATTTATACGTGACTTTACCGAAAAAAGACTAAAAGGTATTCGTGTGGAAAATAACGCCTGCTTCACTGGGGAGCCCAGCAGCAGGCAGCCTTTGCCTGGGGTCGTTAACGCTTGTTTATTTATGGAAGGAGTGTCCGATTCTTTGGAAACACGTGATTGGAGTTTTATTACAGACGAACTCGTGACCGAGATAGGCCTGCCTCGATGCGTCCAGTTGTCAAGTTTTGTGATTCAATCGATGGAACGGGTTCCCAGAGCTGTCCTAGATTGAAGTGCTTAGCTCCTGCCAGAGTGGTAAAGCTACCTACTGTGATTTGTAGAAACACAAAGTTCAGCTAGGTCAACATACATCACCTGTTTTTTGAGAAAAGCATATGTGACTAAATAACAGCAACAACAAGTGACTTTGCTGAAATAAAAAAAGTACTAGTCTAGAACAGATATTTTGGATATTCTTAGTTCTTTCGGTAAAGTCACGTTGAAGGGAAACAAGAACTAAGAATATGAATTACTGCAGTCACGAAAGCTTTAAATCAATAGATATTTTGGAGTTTGATATTCATGGGGAGTGTGTGTACATAAGCAGCACGAGATTGGGGTATCACATGACTTCTCCATCCAAACTCTGCATTGAAATTCCGAGTTATGAATGTAATTATTAAAAATAAATGGCCACTGCTATTGACTCCCCTTGTCTGATATCTGTCAGTCGTTACAAAGTTTGTGCAAAATGTTGAAGAGAATAAACGTGTTTTGCTTACTTTAATTTCAGACGTCTGAGCACTGATCTGGGAAAAGCTCAGGTCTACCAGGAGCCAAACAGAGGTGGTGATACCATGCCATTCATTATACCGCCTGCATTCATATAATGTTCAGGTTTTTTTTTTATGTAAAGGTGTTTTTCGTATAATCATCTTTTGTAATGCATTGCCATCCTTAATGCTGTTGTGTTACAGAGACAAGAGTGCATATCCAGCAGTCCGTGCGAGGAAAGGATGTATTCATTATTCAGACGTGCCCAAGGTAACAAGTATATCTAGATATTGATTATATAACCTCGCCCGCAAGGCAATCAGAACCTTTATGCATTGCAAGATTTTTTTGACCTCATTTTTTTCCATGACAAATAGTATGCTTTTGGTTGTGTTCTGTTAATGGAACTCACTGCTGCTTCGTAAATGTTCATGATGATGATTTACCATTTAACTGAAATATAATGATAGGTTTGTCAGTGGTATATTTTCAAAAACGCTTTAACACTCTTTCATTGTGATGTTTATGTAGATTTTTTGGCACCTCTTCTCTGTTTTGTTATCCCAAGGGATGTGAACACAGCGGTGATGGAGTTGCTGATCATGACGTATGCGTGCAAGACATCGGCAGCGCGCAACATTATTGGCGTAGTGCCCTACTTCCCTTACAGCAAGCATTCCAAAATGCGCAAACGCGGCTCCATAGTCTGCAAGCTGCTCGCATCCATGCTGTGCAAAGCAGGTTAGAGCTGGAGAATAATTGACTGATCAAAGTAACACTTGGCACAACCACCGATTATTGTGCAATTATCGTTCTACAGAGCACAGTTATTATTGTGCTTTTACTTGATGACTTATTTTGTAATTAAAGCCACATTTCGTTCCAGGCATGACACATCTGATCACAATGGACTTGCATCAGAAAGAGATACAAGGCTTCTTTAACATCCCAGTGGATAACCTGAGGGCATCACCTTTTCTGATTCAGTACATACAGGATGAGGTACGACCAACGATTCTTTAAATGTAACTATGCTGCAGCATTAATTTTAACCTTTGCAACCAGGTAGCAGCTCCTTGAAATTAGAAATCTAGCTTTCAAGTTTGTAAATACAACAAAATAATTTATAAATTTAAAAAATGCGTGGAAATGGAAAGTCATTTGAAAACATACAGAGTTAAGAATAATATACAACTAATCTTCAAATATACAGAACATGATGAAGTAATATTTTTGAATGTATTATTTGTACTAATTTTTTTTATCAATTACTCATGCCTGTTGTAGATTCCAGACTACAGAAATGCTGTCATTGTGGCAAAGTCACCTTCTTCTGCCAAAAGGTCAGCTGCCTTTTTTGGGATTCTTTCAGACTCTGTTCCTAGTGTTTGTGCTCGTACAGATAACTCGTGTTATTCGTGGTCAGATTGATCAGAGTTGAAGATTAGCAATACATAACATATCTCGATGTCTCCTGGTTTAATTATGAGCTCATTGAGATTCATTGACCGATGCACACATGACTCCAAATGTGTTGGCAAATTAACCAATTACCTTGAGACACAAGAAAAACAGATGAGTCATTGCGGGGAAATATGGTCAAACAACTGACAACTTTTAAGGTGTGGAGAGGCCTTCATCCAGCAGTGGATTTATAGAGGGCTGTCCATGATAATTATCAGACAAATAATATTCTAATATCCTAATTTACATACATGCAAGTTTACTAAATCCCCCCACCTCTGCCCACGCAGCAATATAAATGGGGTTCACCACAGTCAATTGGTAGGTTGCGTGTGGTGGGGTAAAGTTTGGGTAGTTCCACCTCTTCCAAGATGTGTGACTAGGGTGGAAGAGTAGACAACCAAGAGGTCCATCTAGTGGAGGGCCTTCTGCCAGCAGTGGCGTGAGAAAGCAACTGCAGCGATGCATCTTTGCCTATATATACAGATACAGACACAATTTAAGCCGAGAGGATGGGTACAAATTCGGAAATCATTTGAAGGACGTCCCCAACCACTTTGAGTCATAACTGGTTGTGATGTTTCTTTCTTGTCACCTTCCGTGTCTTTCTTGGAACTTGTACCTCATCATGGTGCTCTCTGACCACAGGGTACTTATGCCCCACCCACTTCGTTCTGATACCAGGACGCTTGTGCCACGCCCATTTTTTAAACCTTTAAAATAACTTTGCTTCAGTGGCCTTCCCCCCTTTTTCTCCTGATGACGATCGCTTGTGTTGTGATCAAAACGTCGTAGTTTTTATTTTTTCTATCTACGTGACTTTACAGAAAGAACTAAAGAATAAGCATCTTTTCCTTTTTCAGAATCAGCTATAAAGCTCTTTTACATATGTCCAGTAGGGGTGGGTAAGAACATTACAACAATACAAAAACGTGATGGGAGTAAAAAGTACAATAATGGTAAACAATCACCCAAGCACTTACAAATTAAACTAAACCGTCCCCATCCTACCAGTCCAAAGTCCAATGGGGTATTAACTTATTTTTCAGAAGTGACATGGCCACAAACGATATCTCAACAAAAGCAGAATCATTTGGGCATTTACAGCAGCACAATAATCTAAATCTCAAAGCATGTTTTATAAATCTGGAGGGGAAAAAACCAGAGGACCCGGATAATCAAGAGCTGCCTGTCCCACGCACATCAACTTGGGGTAGGCAGTGTGTGTTGGGTCGGATGTTTAAACGGCCGTGTGTGTACCTGGCGAGGCAGGGCTCAGTCGTTTGCAGAGCGGCTGCGTCTCGCCATGGCCGTGATCCACGGGGAGGCGCAGGATGCCGAGTCAGACATGGACGACGGGCGGCACTCGCCACCGCCCATTGTCATGAAGAACTCGAGCTCCGCCATCCACCCCGTCCTGGAGCTTCCGCGTAAGGCACTTGCAACGCAGTGGTGGCGGCGGCGGCAGCAGTGGCGGCGAGTGAACACCGGCCGCTAACGAACACTGCTAATGGAGAACGAGGAGGCGCGCGCGCGTGTGTGTGTTCATTTGCATTTTTTTAATTTCTAACATGCAACCGTTTTAAAAAAAAAATGATGTGCCATTAACGATGACAGTTTTGTTGCTGACTTTCCTTTCGCGTAAGGTGGGATTGTTGCAAGTAAAACTCCGGAATGTTCGACAATTTTAAAACAAATGTAAAAGCCTACAACTTCGTGCGTCCATCCCGAAGGAAGGACATCTACTCACATTTTTGCTGTGTCCGTATGTCAGGAAAACCGTCAAGTTCATACCCAGGACTAGAGCTGCCAAGTACGCCCATTTGTTTGCCTGCCCCGCATTCATTGAAGCCTTTTTGTTGCACCGAGATCAACACATGGAGAAAACGCTGATACTTTTACAATGGGCTCTTTTATTTTTTCCTATCTTCCAGAAATTTGAATTGATTTATTGGTGGAAAGGTGTGGGGGGAAAAACTGTGTGGCATGTAGAGTTTGCTATACTTGCATTGTGGTTGTGGTTTACGACTGGTTACCATTTACATCATTCAAATAATTGCCATTCCTTTAAATCACTTGGACCCTTAATTTTCTTCCTGCATGGCTTGCAATTGGACGTTTTGCAAACAAATCTGAGCTTGAATTGCATATATTGTAAGAGAGTTTTGCCTCATTCAGAAATTATGATTGTCTTTCTGCAAATCACAATTAAATATACAATATAAAAGCAAAGGGCAGTTGTCAAAACCCACACATTTCATTGTTGCAGACAACATTTTAGAATGCGCTCATTGTCATAGAGAACCGTACCATGCTGGCTAAACCAGACATGAACTCAATTCAGTATACTTTAAGTAAAGTATTTGATTTTTGGTAATGTTAAACTTTGCAGTTTTATTTTTAAAAACTGGAAGAATTAAATATATATTTTTTTAATGTGGTTCAACACAAGGCATATGTTACATTATTGTTGCATCCTTTTTATTTTTGGAAATCTGGTTTAATGCTGAAAGCATGCTCATTTGCATTTACCGTCTCCACAAAATTCCATTCAGAATTTTAGTACTGAGTGCATGTACAGCTCGCAGCAAATGCGCGATGATTTGAGCTAGTTTCCCTGCACTTGAACGTTCGCATTCTGTAGAAACTTGAGTATTCCATTATCCCATGATGACATAGTGCAGGTTTTGCCAACGCCTTGCCTGTGTGTTCCATGATTATTGGTCGACTGGATAAGCATGGCGCAAACTTTCTCCAAAGTGTGAGTGCTCCGTTCCAATGCCACATAGGGGTGGGGCCATGTGCAAAGACACCTGACTGTCCGTAAGAAAAAAACACTTTAATTGGCGCAATCCCAAGTCTATTCAAGTATGCTACGATTATTATGAACCAAATTTACCGAAAATTGAGCGTTCCTTGCTCTTGTGTTCATTGTATAAAAGTACTGAGGCAGATTAATAGTTCAATAAATAAAAAATAGGGGTTTTTTTTGTACACATCCAAGTTAATTTAATGTCAGCACAATGGACCCACTCCTGTAATGGATGTGATCTCTCACAATGCAGAAACTGCACTGCTTACCTGGTGTAATGATTTAATGTAAGTTAAAATGGTTGCCAGTGCCTTTTTCCATGTCTCTTGGATGCGACAGTTATTGTGATAGTTGCATGGAGTTTGTAGACACCCACTGGGACTTCTGTCCAAAGTCCTGCGTTAATGCCATCTGCCCAATACATTTACCGCAGTAATGATGCCCAAGGAGAAGCCACCCATTACGGTTGTGGGAGATGTTGGTGGAAGAATTGCAATTATTGTGGTAAGTGCCATGCAGTGAACGTTTAACAAACCTGCGTATGTCATTGTTCGTACGTGCATCGAATGCTTAGGCATACCTGAATGCAGTTTTGGCCCGATGCTTTCCCGTGTTTTCTAAACACTTAGACGTTAAGCAAGTAGTTGCCTTCAACACTACCTGCTCGAATGCCATTCAGCTTTTGGTCAACTTTGTAGTTGAAGCAATGAAGGCAATATGTTGTATTGTATTGCGCCACCTGAGCACAACTTGCTGTACTGCAGATTCCATGTAATTCGTTTTACTTTTACTCCCAGCAAAGTAATGCAGCTGCATTCCATCTCACTATTTTGGCAGGACGACATCATTGATGATGTGCACAGCTTCGTGATGGCTGCCGAGACCCTGAAGGAACGGGGTGCCTACAAGATCTACGTAATGGCCACTCACGGCCTGCTCTCGTCGGACGCTCCTCGGCTCATTGAAGAATCTCCCATTCACGAGGTCCTCACTGCATACAGGCTGCACTTGGCGGGGCGGCGGGGTAGCTCACAGCCGGCCCAAGTTGAACCAAACTGCTGTTACTTAACCGGCAACTTTAAATCCGTTCATGGGTTTACCCCACCATATCTTTCCACTCTTGTATCCTAATGTTCTTTCTCGCCCTTTACGTCCTCCTTACTCTTTGCCGTCTCTCTCTGTTCCTCCTCCTCCTTGTGCTCAATCTACGCTGTCTCTCTCTCTCCTCGCCCCCCTTCACTAGAACAAATTTTGCCTCCCCCCCTCACTAGTTTCCGCTCCTCACTCAAAACTCGCTTATTTCCCCAAGCTCACCCCACGACCCCCCTTAATCTCCCTCTCGTAACCACCACCGTTACTGTTCCCTCTTCATATTCTCATTCAATCACTCATTAACCCCATTCATTCAATCCCTTCGACATCATTTACTGTAGTGAATTTCGCTTGCACGGAATTCACGCATCACAGATTTTCCTCCATTGCTTCCTCTCATCTGTTTCATTCGCATAATCCCCATTACATTCGTACGTACCGTTGTTAATTCTTGGTAAAGCGCCTTAGTGAAGGAGCTGTATAAATTCTGATAAGAAGATAAGAGCCACTGCTGCGTGAAAGCCTTGCAATTCGGTCACAGAGCGCTTCAAGCCTGAAGCAGCTGCTGCCAGTGTGCAGGAAGTGACAAAGAGGAATGAGGCCATGCTGATGATCTCAAATTAATTAACTTGGCATGATAATTATTTGGGATATGTGGAATTTTAACCCTTGTTGTCTGCGGTAATAGCTATTGTATGTCTTTTTTCATTTCCCCCATGTGAGGAAAAAGGTACTCAATGCTCGTGTGGAGTGCCACCGAACTTTGTAATTCAAAGCCAACACTTTATGTAATTGATGACAAAATATACTGCAAAATATCTATCAACAGAATGGGTGTTGTCGAGAAACAGATTTAACAATACACCTCCGATCATCACGGTTGGCTACGTATGGTACGAAAAAAGTTCAACATCCACAAATATGTGTTCACAAACAGCAGGAAGGCACAACTGAAATCATGTCTTGCATGCATGTCATGTGACCACAACACTTTGTCTAGACCACCAGCTATAGAGCTAAATGTGTGGCCGTATTATTGCTTAGGTAACAAACTCAAAGAGTTGAAACATATGGCCATCTCAGCAAACTGAGCACACGTTTGTGTTGGCAACTCCACGTAGTAACTTTGTAGCGTACGTGTGTGCATTGCTTTATACTCATGAGGTTGATGCTAATGGAATGTGTTAATGCACAGGTGGTGGTGACCAACACCATCCCACACGAGGTGCAAAAGCTGCAGTGCCACAAGATCAAAACGGTGGATATCAGCATGATCGTGTCCGAGGCCATCCGTCGCATCCACAACGGCGAGTCCATGTCCTACCTCTTCCGCAACATTGGCGTCGATGACTAGGCGCACCGCGGTGGAGCGACCTGCTGGGCCTATATCCACCTGCCTTGAATGCTTGCAATGCCATTGAAGTTGCATCATGCCCTCTGGGAGATGGCTGAATGGGTGATCATTTCTGTGGTTTGTGCCTGGTGGTCCCCAACTCAAGTGTGCGCTATTTTCCAAGGTTCTTCCTTTTATTTTCTAGTTTCCAGCATTCTTTTGCTGCCTTGATTTGTAAACCCAATGCTGTAGGTTCCATGTGTGCACAGCATTTAATGCTGCTTTTCACGTTTTGGCAGATCAATCACCACAGTTCTCTCCTTCCTCCGGATTGGGACAGCAGGGCATACAATAAACCCTGGGAGCATCTTGTTCACCAAAGCTTAGCAGTCTTGAGAACACTTCATGTCCAATACACCTGCTACAACTTAAAAGTTGCTTGTCTTGTATGTAGAAGTGGAGTTTTTTATCTGTGATAATCTGGTGGACCATAAAGGCTGGCAGGGTGCACGTAATTTATGCCATTACATTTTGGCCATGGGAATATTAAATTAGATAAAAATGTACTCTTAACAGAAATGGCCTACTAGTTTGTCACAGACGTTTTTATTTTGCAAGTGGAGATTCTGAATACTGTATAGTTTTGACAAGAAGATAAATTAACAAAACCCTGTTTTACAACTCAGCACTTGTGGGCATTATAAGAAAAAGTTTGATACAATTACGAATTCCTCACCTTATTGCAATTGTGTTCACATGGTAACACTGACGCTGGATAACATTCTTGTTGTAATGTATAAAGGATATCCACATTCCTGCTCCTTTTCTTTTACAGTTGAAATAATTTTTCCACTTATCATATATGAACTGTAGGTGTCATTGCTTTTTCATGATTAAATATGTACAAAGCTCAGCATCACGTAGTATTGTTTATTTTATTAATTGAAATGTATGCAACAAGCATGTGAAAGTGTCTGTGATGTGATGTCAATAAAACATTTCCCCAAGCACGCCTGTGTATTTCTTCTTGAGATTTGTTCATTGAACAATATTGGAACTGTGAAATCTGCAAATGTTGGCTTAAACGTTGGGTGCCAGTTTATCCGAGTTGCCGAGCTTGAACAGCCTTCTCGATCCAATCCCCACCAGCTTCTCTCTGATCGTGCGTCTTTCAGTTTGGCACGAGCCCGTTTAAGTTGTCGATCATCAGCACTTTCCTATCGACACTGCGGTGGGGTCTTTTTAGTCCCATGGGCCAGGTAAAATTTTGGTACCATCGCTTAAGGAAGCCATCCACCTCTTCATGGAGCTATCATTTGTGGCCAGGTCGCTTCTGAAAAAGAGCTACATAGCTCAGTGGGCCTTACCTGGCAACATAGTTTAATTACCTTCCAGTGCAAATCTTGAAGCCCCCCCCGTGTCATGGTTTTTTTTCTGCAATCATTTCCAAACGTTTAATGGACCTACTCAAGTTCACGTTTTCTCTGACCACCGTGACCTGGCACGTCATAATGCGAGCCTCGGACACGATGCTGGAGGAGGGTTTCGTTGAGCCAGAGAGCCCAGGAATCTCGTCGCTCGCGAAACCCAACCCTGACCTCTCGACCCTTGGCCACGTGGCTGGGTGGCAGCAAGGCCGTATCGTTTTGTGCGGGGCGCTGCTGTAGTGACGGGAAAATAAACTATAGAAAGGGCGTCGGCTGTCAAGTATGTATTTAATTAATGCAAGTAGTAATATGGGAATAATGATGACGTGTCTTAAATGAAATCCGCGTTAAACTGGGCACTGCTGAGAAATACGCTTCCTATCACGTTCCACTGCGGCGTAACGATACAGAAGCACCCGTCAAACCCAACCTCGACTAGATGAACGACACCAACAACAACAACGCAACGAGCACTTGTTAATAAACGTACAACATTTACATAAATAATGCGCACAAATCTGCAAGCTGAGTTTAAAAAAAGAAATCCGATGCAAATGCGCGGCACTACTTCGCCCCCCCCCACGACTCGGCGGAGCGCGACGTGGGGGGAGGGAGTGAGACAGCCGTTGCTAGGCGACGGAGGAAGCGCGTCCCGGGCTATGGAGGCTCCGTCTGGAGCAGCAGCAGCAGCCGGCTCCACTCGCCTCTCATCATCATCCACTCGCCTCTCTCTCCTCCTCTCTCTCCTCATCATCCACTCGCCTCTCTCTCATCATCATCAACTCGCCTCTCTCTCCTCATCCACTCGCCTCTCTCTCATCATCCACTCGCCTCTCTCTCATCATCATCCACTCGCCTCTCTCTCCTCATCCACTCGCCTCTCTCTCATCATCATCCACTCGCCTCTCTCTCATCATCATCCACTCGCCTCTCTCCTCCTCTCCTCATCCACTTGCCTCTCTCATCATCCTCTCGCCTCCTCCTCTCTCCACCGCCTAGACAATAGCGAACTACTCAAGCAAGTGGTCGCTCCGTTGGCGTCTTAAGTATCCGACCAAACGGACCGACTAATTGAGTTGAGCAAGCCAGTGATTAATTAAAGAGAGAGAGATAGTCTGACAGAGCGACTCTCTGACTGAAGAAAGACAAACTCGCAGACTGACAAAGACAGAGGGCAGACACGCTGGGAGACAGACAGCCGGGACACATGGCTTCCACTGTGAGCCTGGCTGAGCTCGCCGATCTGGCCGTGGGCTCCCCGCAGGCGGGATGCGTGGACTTCACTGCCCTCCACCGCCTGCTGCGGGCGCTGCTGGCCCAGCTGCACCTGCAGGAGGTGCGGGTGGGCGAGCCCCTGCTGCGTGTGCCGCCCCAAGACGGCGGCCCAACGCAGCAGCGGCAGCAGCGCGAGGGGAATCCCGCAGGTTCGACTCCACTCCCTGCACAGCCCAGCAGCAAGACCCCCGGGGCCCTGGAGGAGAGAGTCCACGGGCTGGAGAGGCGACTCGACGTGTTGGACGCGCTGCCTGACCTACCCGAGCTGCTGGATGGGTCCAAGCGAGGAGGAGGAGGAGGTGGTGGCGGTGGGGGCATCGGAGGAGGTGGCGCTGCGAGTGGAGGCGGGCGCCCAGGGCCCGTGAGGGACATGTGGCAGCTGCTGCAGATCAACAAGCGTCTGGAGGCCAACGAGACGGCTGTGAGCAAGGTGTGGTGGACTCGGACCGTGCAGGTTGCAGCCGTTGTGCTGCTGTATTAGAGCCCCGGTGCGTGTTCGTGTTGTCACCGCGGTGTTGTTCTTCGCGGCACGGTGTCCGACGTTTCGCTCCACGTGCTGTGCCCTTCTAAATCAGAACATCGGAAAGGGTTTTATTCGCCATGAAAGTTCGCACAGACAAGGAATTTACTTTGGCAGGAAGGTGCATACATTCAACATATAGGAATCTTGAATAAGTGGTATGCAAGTCTAACTATACTAAAGGTACAAAGTCTAACTCACACTAAGGGGCTAAAGTATGTAAAATTTGTTAATGAATATTGAATATAAAGTAGCTATAAGATACAATCTAAAAATACAAAATATACAAATAGGGTAACATAGTGTAAATATAGCAAGGTGTCATTTTGTAGATAAAATGTTAAAGTCAGTGTAAGCCCTTGGCCTTGTTGAAGAGGTCAGCAGCGGTTGGGAAGAAACTGTTTTTGTGGCGTGAGGTTTTGGTCCTGATGGACCGCAGCCTTCTGCCGGAGGGGAGTAGCTGAAACAGAGAGTGTCCAGGGTGGGAGGAATCGGCCACAATCTTCCTCGCTCGCCTCATGGTCCTCGAGGTGTGCAGGTCCTCGAGGGTTGGTAGATTGCAGGCAATCACCTTCTCGGCAGTGTGGATGATACGCTGCAGTCTGCTCTTGGCAGTGGCAGCAGCGTACCAGATGGTTATGGAGGTGAGGATGGATTCAATGATTGCTGTATAGAAGTGCACCATCATTGTCTTTGGCAGGTTGAATTTCTTCAGCTGGAAGTACATCCTCTGTTGAGCTCTCTTGGATGTTCAGTTCCCACTTGAAGTCCCGGGAGAGAATAGTGCCCAGGAAGCAGAAGGACTCCACAGTTTTGGCTGGGGAGTCGCACAGGGTGATGGGGGTGAGTGGGGCTGTATTTTTCCTGAAGGCCACAACCATCTCAACTGTCTTTAGAGCATTTAGCTCTAAGTTGTTCTGGCTGCACCAGGGCACCAGGTTGTCAGCTTCCCACCTATAGTCAGACTCAAATGCGAGTAGCTGACAGGGTATGGGATCCCTGCGTGGGGCCGAACTGATGGAGCGTGATGCACTGGACCTTGCTGTAGTGCGGTAGTGTAATGACACCACTCGTGTTAGACAAGATGTACACCATCCCTCGCTGTGTTCACAGCCAGTGCTGCAGATGCCTTGACCCGCCGCCCGTTGGCGAGACTGTCGCAGGCAGGGTTGGTGGAGACGAGATGTGATATGCAAGGTGCTTTGAGATGATGAGGCGTGTACAACTGCAAATCCTTGTCCTTACCTTGATGGCCAACCTGTCCAGGTGTGCTGGACCTCACAGTGGGACGTTGATGGCCACTTGTCTTTTAATACTGGCCGTGTCAAACAAGATGATTCCTTGCAAAACGTTTCTATTTGGTATATGACATCTTGACACCTGCTTTATTGCCAGAAAGGGTCAAACCTTTTTTTTTCCAGAACGAGAGTTGTCGACGTTTTGCCGCAGAAGGTTTATGGCCATCGGCTTCGTTGACTCTGATCACAATCACAACCTTTAATACCCATTGTGTTGGTGACCTCAGTCAGGTGACTAGCTTTACCACAGCAAAGCTACACTTTGTGTTGTTTATTTGGTTGGACTATAATCAACTCTCTGCACAGTATCGTTATGTCTCCTAACTTGTAACAACATCTTGAAATGTGGTCATATGCTTTAGAGATTAAAGTTGTATTGTATACAGCTGCCAGTCACAGCCCTGCGCCTAACCGGTTCAGCTGCTGAGACAGTTTTAAATTACAGCATCTGTCTTGACCCATTCAGCTTCAACTGGATTAGTATCGCTACACATTAAGGTAAGACCAGCTCTCTAATAGTCTGCCAATAAGTGGCTGAGCTGGTCTAGGGTTAAGATGTTGTCCATGCAGGCGCAAACCTAAAGGTGTCTAGAGAAATCGACAGCCGCAAGTGGCTTCAGTTACTTGACATCAGAGAGGACCCAAGTAAAGCATTCGCCTGTCTATTTTTTCTTGTACTTTTAAACCACCGCTAATATTATATATAAGGCATTTGATGATAGGGTTCTACGGTGGCTGGGACCTTTGGTAATTCCAAAACTGAATCGGTCCAGAGAATTCAGATTGAGAGGTGGCTGAAATCAAAGCAACCTGGATTGAATATCAGTGGTAAATTTAATGGTAAACTTATATCTTTCGCTGTTATCCAAGGGCTAAGATCCTTTCCAGGGAAAGAGAATTACACAACATTAGTCGCAGTGCTGTTGCTTCATTGATGCAATTGAGTTGGGGGTGGTTGTGGACCGGTTGTAGCTGCTTGAGACACTGCATCAGGTATGGTCACCATGACAAATGTAAATCCTACCACTCATTATATATTTATTGATACTTCAGTAACTGCTTTGTAGCCACCACGAATCACTTCCCTTACTGTATCCCCAAATCAGTATTGTTAAACTAACAAAATAATAAAATGTGTCACTTATACTACCAGTAGATAACAGAAAAATTCTTCTTACCTATATATCTTTGTATGATTGACAGCAGTCAGATGCTTTTATTTAGCTGCTGTTGGTCAATGGTTGGAACCATAAACAATTCTTGGTAAGAGCCATAGAATGTAGCCCTCTGCGTACTTAACCAGGAGTGCACTCTTCACGCTAAAGAGCATGTCATTCACAAGGGGGTCACGGGGTTCACGTGCCACCCGATGTATAAAGGGTGCCTATCACAGTACAATTTACGGCTAGTGTTATTTCAATGTGAAAATAATTGATCCTGAAAATGTATTTTAATCGAAGTGAATAGTTTTTTTAAAAGAAAAAATAACGTACATTTTCTACAGTGCGATCTATATATGTGTGTATGTTCGCAGTGTACGTAGCCAACGGTGCTGTAGACCACCCCACTGATTCTAAATGACGCACGAGAAGTTAGTGACCTCGACGGTGCTTGTCATCAACAAAGCGTATCAGGAGAGGGTTAAAATTAGTTAATAAGTGGAGTGAGACTGGTTGGGAGACGTGTAGAGGCTTTCAATTAAAATGCTGTTTTCTCTATCAGTCCTCCCCATTACGCATGTCATGTATGTTGAACTTCTTTCGCACCGTATGTAACCAACCGTGCTCATCGGAGGTGCGGGGGAAGGGTAACAAACGAAACGTAAAAATCAGTTCTAAAGAAATGAGTTTTCAATGCAGATGTTTAAAAACTCATTTCTTCCCAACTGCTTTTTGTGTGTTAGTTTACCCAAGTGTTGAATCTACAAATGGATTATCCTGTGCGACTTCACATTCAAATTCGTGAGCAGTCTCATTTATTTGCTTTGTTCTTTAGGTGCTTTTCTTGTCAGAAATATTTGCTCACGGACTTACAAGTCAGAACTTGCGGCCCTGCTTTATGATGCATTAATGGTTTAACTGAACCTGTCCAACCTTGTTTTGTAAACAGCTTTTGATGTGGAAACACGTTCATGAAATTGCATTAGTAAGTAACAGTTGAGCTTAGAAATGTGTTACTTTAAGTGCGTCACCAGCAGGGAGATCAACGTAATTTATCCACGCGACAGTATTTCAAAAAGTTTCAAATATTTAAAACTTTTAATCATTATCCGTCAATAACAATGACTCTGTAGATCATTGTGAAATCAAAACTTGGACGCTTTTTGCCTGCAAACACAATGTGTGCCAAACACAAAACTTCCAAATAAGACATGCCAAAATAAATACTCTATGTAGATATGATAAGCTGCAAATGAAGTCTGACCCGACTAGTTTGATGTGCATGCTGAGTATATACGACATAAAGTGATATGAACAAAATGTCTCCCGTGTTTGTGCAACCAGGCAACAACATATTATTGGTTCTTTATAATACAAATATAAAACAATATTGTTTTATATTTTTATTATTTTGTTGTTTCCCTTCTACGTGACTTTACCAAAAGAACCAAGAATATGAATCCCTGCAGTCACGAAAGCTTTAAATCAGGCAACGACAATTGCACTACACTATACACTACTGTACTCGTGACTCAACCCCAGGAGACCCGGCCTATTCAAACCATCGCTTTGTTTGTCATTGTTGACTTTTTTTCAAGGTAGACAATTTAAATACCGCAAACCGATGAAGTGCCGTGTTTACACTTTATAATCATTCTTTAAAGGGATTGAAACCGGATGAATATGACCCAATTTAAAAGTATTAATTTGAAGTCCATGGTTACACGAGACAATGTACTAGAGAAATATTGAGGTTTTTTTGCTATATTTTGTTGCTGTAAACATGTTTGCTTTACTTTATTGTGAAATGAAAACTCACGTGAACACAGCATCAATGCCACCCGAAAAAGCACGAAACGACACCAGATGGCTTCGATTGTTCCGTTTCTGGTCACAGGCGATGTCCCTCTTGCAAGAGCTGCTGGATGACATTAACAGCCTCAAGTCAGCCAAAGAAGTTATGTTGGAGAACATCCGAAACCTGCGAGATCAGCAAGAATCAGTAAGTAATGTTATGGTAATAGGGTACTCCAGTAGGGCCCTTAATACTGATCAATACTTAATCGCAGTTTAACATATACCGGAACAACGTTGTTGATTCAGTGTAATCCGTATGCCATCCTTGAATATAGGCCTAACTTTTCGGATGTTATCACTCAACAATTGTATGGATTCGTGCATTTGTTTGGAAATTGTTGATACATATTTACGTGAAACCGTTATTTGTAATAATGTGAACCTTCCAACAAACAACCTTAAAAAATAAAGAGAGCATAATGCCTCTTTCATCTCGAACCGATATCTTACCCATTGTCATTTATATGCATTCATTAACCACCCCCCCTGGCGTTTGCACCCCAGGGGCTCACAAGTGACGTCGCATGTATTCCTCGATTTAAGAACGAAACAGGAGAATTTCTCCACAAATCTGGCTGTCGCCTGGTGAAGCTAGTTGTAATTACTGGCGAAACGTCATACTCAGATTGTAAAGGTTGTGGATTTGCTCTCCAACACACCGGTGGTGCTGTACTAGTGACGCATAGGAACGTTCTGTTTACGTGACAAACCTTACTAATTGGCTGTGTCGGGTGGTGGCGGGTTTAACGACACATTTATGCGATTTAACCCAAAAAAAACCTCTTATGAACTATATCTTACCATAATGCTCTAATTCACACAGAGGGTATAGGCGTTCATGGTTCTTGCCTTGTCACGTGTTGTAATGTGATATGGCGTTACATTCCACTTTGTTGGTGCCTCACCCCTGATTAAATCACGTACGATTAAATCACACTTTGAGCATTTTAATGAAAGCCTAATAATACGGTACGATAACCACTTACTCAGCCCTGCCCTTTCTTTACTCGATGGCACTGTTGGGCCAGCATGTTGACACAGTGTTGGTGCAGAAGTTCATAACCCTCCTGCTGCTGTCTATAAACGGTGTATAAAAAAAAATGTCCAGCACAATGTTTGCCTGGCTTCTGACATTGCTATGCCACAAGCCTTGCTTGGTTAGCAACGAATGTTTTAGTCATGGGGTTGGCAGGGTGGCTTGCCCAACTCTGTTTCACAGTTCACTAGACTCCCTCCTGCAGAGAACATTATGAATGACTATTCATCAAGCTGTCCACATCACACGTGCTCAGGCCACACGGTTATATTACGTTACGTATATGTTTAACAAAACAGACTCCAATGTAAACACCTAAAAAATCCTCCTGAACCACTGCACCGTGTGTATCTTACAAACGTTGTGCTTATTTTCACAGATAAATGCAAACGAATTAAAGGAGCGGATGGCTGCTGTGGAGGCTTACAAGACGAGGATAGATGAGCTTGATAGAAATTTGGTAATTGATTTTAGGAACTATATATATTTGTAATAAATGTCACATTGAATATTCACATATATAATAGCAACGTTATTCACATAATAAACTGTTCATAGCTGCCTTTTAAAAACCTTTAATTACTGTATATAAAATATCTGTCATCTTAGAAGGTACTACATGCATTACAATAAAGATATCGTTTAATGGCATGATCATTTTGTGTAAATTTAAAATCACATTGCCATTCGAAATACATTGCACATAACCATATACAATAATACTGTACAATTTAAACAGTTTTCCACAAAGACTGATTTGTACAATTACAGCGTGCTCGTTATTGAAAAATGACCTGTGGTAAAATGACGTTTCTATTTTTTTAAGCACGCTCACATGGGCAACATAGACTTTGTTGAAGTGCGAGTTCGAGGCTACATCGTCACGCGTCTGTTTGCCGTGTCTGCCCGTAGAGAGAGCAACAAAACAAACTTGGCCTTCTGCCAAGCCCAGAGGAGTTCAGAAATTGCATCACGTACAAATTCCTCCAGGAGACCTTGATCCCAAAGGGTGGCACGTTACAGGAGGTGAGTGTAATTCTGCAGCAGAAATCAAAGACACGGCAGTTATTGACAATAATGATGATATTCAAACCAACAGATGCTTTGTTTTGTAATAAATAACGCGATGTAAATGATCACGTGCAAAGAAGGTGCTTAATTGTTATATAATTTAATTAATCATCATCAGCTGTGATCATCCACAGCTATTCATAATATAGGTTTATTGGGTTAGACCGTGTAAATATGAATGTGTCATTCAACCCGACATCACCCGACACAGCCAATTAGTAAGGTTTGTCACGTAAACAAAACATGCAAATTCGTTACTAGTACAGCACACCGGTGTGTTGGAGAGTAAACTCACACACATTTACAATTCGAATACGAGGTTTCGCCAGTAATTACAACTAGCATCATCAGGTGACAGCCAGATTTGTGGAGAAATCCTCCTCTTTAGTTATTAACTAGAAGGATAGATGTGATGTCGTCGCTTGTGAGCCAATCAGGTGCGAAGGCCAGGGTGGAGGGTTCATGTATCCATGAGGACTGGATATTTGTGCTCAGGATAAATGAGCATGAACAAACGGCATATATAACAGCTTCATTACGTAAGAACTTATAGAATTAAATTAGTAATTTGTACAACTTCACTATGTCAAATATGAGCAAAATAATGGTCACGTATTGCTACTTTATTATTATACAACGTTATTTGGTAAATGATACAACTTTACAATGTCACCTCCAGCATATTGCTGTGTGGACATTGTCTCATTGATGTTCTGTCTACACATCGAAACACCCCAAGAGTAATCACCAGCAACTAGTGGTAAATGTGCACCATCTAAGGTGATATTAAAAAAACAATCGTACAACATCTGTCCATTATTACAAAATATAATATCACAGTGACACGCATTGAATGCCCATCTAAATTAAAGGCAAATAAAAGCAATGCAAATACAGAGTTTTATGTGTGTTATCAGAATTTTCAAGTAATCAATGCCTGCATTATGGGACCTCCTTTGCTAGTATCAAAATAGACATCTTTCTCTTGACCCTAGTCTCAAACGGTGTTAGACCAGAGGACGCCAAAAGGCGAACAGCACAAAGACAATGCCACTATCATTGTCTTTTGCTCTCAAGAAAGCTGTCTCTGGTGTGGACCAATCAGTTTCAAAGACAATGCATATACTGTCAGAGTATGTTTTTTTTTGTATTTTCACCACAAGTATATGTGGTTAATGCAGACATGATTCCTTGCAAAAGGTTTCAGTTTGGTGTTTTAACATCTTAACACAACTGTTTTATTGCCAGAAAGGGGAAAACATATTCTTATAATCAATGCCTGGTTTATATTTATAAATACCAATGATCTGCAAAATGGCGAGTGAATGTTTGCACCCATTACATTGCTCTGATGATAGGAGCTTGGAGAGGCCTTCATCCAGCAGTGGATTGACCGTGGATGATGATGATGATGATGAATATTTGCATTATAATCAAGGCCACGACAATCATAAAAAAATCAATTAGCGTAAAATGCATGGCTATTTCACGTCATATTTGCACAGCTTTAATGATTCCCTCTTTGCGCGTGGCTCGAGAGATGCCGTCAAGACTTCTGAGCGTGTCTGTGCCTCTGCTGATTTAATGAACCCCTGCAGGCGCATGCCACTGAGATTCAACCGCAGCACAAAGAGGCGGCGCAGGCTCTCAGGGTGATTGGGCAGCTTCCCAGGCTCCACGGGGCTCTGGAGATCCGCGTGGAGGCCCTGGAGGCTGATTTGCAATCAGTCCCCAACAAGAGTGAGATGGAGGCGTTGAAGCGGCAATTGGAAGACCTCGGTAATCTTCATTTCATATGGCCTTTGAAGAGGGATTATTAGAGATGCAATTGTAAGTGATTTGGTAATTCAGTGGCTCTGTCTGCGAGCCATTTGAATTTGGGGCAGCGTGAAGTTACATGGTCGATGGTCTGGAGCTCGTAGATACATTCGCACACAGGAGAGTCTTTGATTTTCCGCTTTGCACTTAGATATCCGCATCTCCCATGGTTTTTTTGCGGAACCGTTTTAAGCGCTGTCCATTGGCAGCAGGTAATGATCTGGCTTCAATGAGATGTAGGTGCCGAAAACCATTTAGATTTCTGACGTTCACGTATATGATGGCCAGACCATGACTGTTTTTTTTGCATTGCGAAAAAATAATTTATTCACTGTAAAGCATATCGATGCGACCTTTTTGTCAGTATCCAAAAATGATGAAAAATAAGCATAGGTTTTTACCCTCTCCGAAAATAAAACAGGTGTTAAGATGTTCAAACACCACATAGAAACCTTTTGCAAGACATCAAGTCTGCATTAACCACACATAGTTGTGGTAAAACATGCAAACAAACATGCTAGGATAATATATACTGTAACACATTGACACAATTAAACTTCTGTTGATTGCATCTACGCAATCAACAGAACGATTTTAGCAAAAGCCTGCTAAATCGTTCTCAAAAATACTTTGGTATGATGCACTATTCCTCTTCACTGCAGCCCTAAATTATGTGCAACAAATCTACCTATTACCTGAGCCTTTATGTGGAGAAGGGGAGTGACGCAGAAGCAGTATTACATGAATTCGTTATCCACGTGTATCTGCTCATTTGCATTCGATAAATGGGTAAATTGTGCAGGTAAGTGGGGCTAATAGGATCAGCCACGAGCAGCTTCTCACATCAGGGCAGACTAAGAGGAGTTTCCACTGTATTCTTATTCTTATTTCTGCACAGTTTCCCTCACCTCTCTGTTTGATGTTAGGTTAACAAAAAAACGAAACATTTGACCAGGCCCCACAACTGGCATATCCACAAATGTAATGGTCAGAACTGGTGTGTGATACCGCCTAAATTGTGCAGCTTCAAAAAACATCCCAGACAACCTCCTGCAGCAGCTGAAGGCTCTGGCAGAGGACCTCGGCAAACTGAACGGAGAAAAGGCAAAGGTAATACATACCACCGTTACTATCATCCACAATGTTCTTGTTATGCTGTTAACTTAAATGCTGCCGTGTATAACGATTATTAATCGATTAAATATTCAACTGTTAAACGACAAGGTATACTGCATTAAATGTGTGCATAGAAGGCAGAGTCATTGCTTTCAACAATGCTTTAACTGTCACCTTCTGAGGACCTGCATTTTAGTGAGATGCGTTATGCTATTGGATACATGTTCAACATAAATTTAACTTGCTTCGCTAAAACACGTGGGATGATGCAAGCGGGTGACTATATTATCTGCATGAAAGATATCTGTCTGGAAATAAAATCAAAGCAGTGCACCTCCACACAGACGTATGGAGTGTAATGACTGCATTGAAGTCTAAATCTGAACAATACTTGTTAAAATGTTTTTTGCTGGCACAGCATATCAATGATCCAGTCTTGTATATTTGATTACACACTGTCATTGTCTGTTCGGAAAGCCTTTGTTTGGCTGATTAGCTCCCTGAACCCAAGGTATTTCACCGAATGCTGATCTTTTGTGCAGACTGCAATGTTTGGAGGCTTCCCACAACAGCACAGTTTGTGGCACAGCCTACAAAATGTTGGTACCATCACTTTTAGTTTTGAGTTCTAACAAGACCAATCTCACCAGTTCTAACAAGACCAATCTCACCAGTTCTAACAAGACCAATCTCACCTGTTATAACAAGACCAATCTCACCAGTTCTAACAAGACCAATCTCACCAGTTCTAACAAGACCAATCTCACCAGTTCTAACAATACCAATCTCACCAGTTCTAACAAGACCAATCTCACCAGTTCTAACAAGACCAATCTCACCAGTTCTAACAAGACCAATCTCACCTGTTATAACAAGACCAATCTCACCAGTTCTAACAAGACCAATCTCACCAGTTCTAACAAGACCAATCTCACCTCCGATGAGCACGGTTGGCTACGTACGGTGCAAAAGCAGTTCAACATACATACCAAACAAATGGCTTTTAAGGATGCTAATGGATCGCCATAATGGTCTTCTCAAGCCACTTAGACCACAATACAGCATTGCAAGTCGATTGAACATCCTTGTCCATTAAGGGTGGAATGATAAAAGTATGCAAATATGAGCAATGATCTGCATTGGCAGCCCTTAGCCAATGATGATTATTAGACTTCTCGTTTACGCAGGCACTTCCACCGTACAGTATTTAAATCGGTGTGAAAATATCTTAATTGTATATAATTACTGTGTTTCAGAACATTATCATTATTTTTTCTTTTTAAAGCTTCCGTGACTGCAGGGATTCATATTCTTGGTTCTTTCGGTAAAGTCACGTAGAAGGCAAACAATACAAATTTTCTTGCTGTGGTTTTCACACCTGATGATGATTGCTTTTGTTGCAGTCGAAATGTCGTGAGAATTTAATTGTTTTATATTTTTATTATTTTTTTGTTTTATATTTTTTTATTATTTTATTGTTTCCCTTCTACGTGACTTTACCGAAAGAACCAAGAATATATTATCATTATTGTCAAGTAAATGTGCGTCATTTACATAACTAGTGTTTAATGTGCATATATTGAAATAGTGTGTAATGAGCACATTGTTTTATTATAGCGTATGGCAAGTATATATAAATTACAAGTCTAGGCTTACGTTTGTGAGCCACGTGATCGATTCGTGAGTGAGCGCGGCAGCACAGAGGCCGTGGTTATTTCTTCAAAGTGTGACATGCGGAGCCTCCTCCTCTACCTCCGTAAATTATTCGTTTATCCTGGAATATGTGAATTGTTTGCCATGGAGATCTGTCCCTATAATACACAATGGTTCTGTCTTGATATTTAAGAACGAGCATTTTCGAAAGCAGCAGCATCAGCAGCACCCATTTCACCGTTTCTCTGATGCTGCCGTTGTCACGAATTTTGTCAATCGTGTTTATGTTGAGCTCCCCGAATCGGATTCTCAAACTCTTCAATTATTTACAGGGTTTTATGTATTTAGCTCGTGTCTGTCATCATTTATCCCGCTGTATAGCTCTCCTTTTCTTCATTCAGCTTTCTGTGGTTTCAAACAGATCGTGTTGTTTATGTTGCCTATCACTTCCAGTGCCCCGTTCATTCCGATGGCAGGCATCTCATTATGTAGTCAATTTGCGATAATTTTTCTTATCTCGGAAGTGAAATATTTGGATACAATCTAAATTCACTCATCTCCTGAACGAGATTCCAATGCCTATTTTCAGCTTCATCTCCTGATTTTAAATGTTGAAATGTAACTTGAAACAGAAAACTCAGTGCAGACCATATAGCTATACGTTACATACAACACCAGATACCTATACAAGGAGGACCTGGTTGTAAGTGAAGTCAATGTATGTGTGTGTGCGTACGGGAATGATTGTGCATTGGTAGTGGAGAGCGGTAGTGTGTGTAGTGGTTAGCCAGTGTGCTACGAACCCGGCGACCCAGGTTCGATTCCCGCTCATGGCCACCAACACCAGTGACGATTATCTCAATCAGTCCTGGACCTCCCTTAGATCGACTCAGCCTCAAATGAGTACCTGGTATGATGTGTAAACATCACTACTAGGAAGACAAAGGCGGTCGGGCGTGGTGCTGGCCACCCACCCACTCGTGTACCGTGCCGGCCTTCGTAAGTGCTCCCTAACAGCACCTGCCCCAACAGTCTGTTAAGGCTATACGGGGGATCTTCGTCCCTGTGCCTTTTGTGTGCGTACGGGGATGATTGTTCATTGGCAGGACGCAGAGGCCCTTCGACTGCTGCAGGCGGCCTTACGGCAGCTGCAGGCCGACTGCGAACGGCTCGACAGCACCACGGCCCTACTGGAGGAAGACAAGGCTCAAAAACAGCGGCACGTCAATGTGAGTGACGCCACGCTCTAGTCCCACAGATGCCCCCCACGCGCACAGAGGCCCATGGGTGCCGTGCAGAGACAAGCACAATCGTTGCAAGCTCTGAGCTTGGAGAACCAGGTTTTAAATTGACTGTGCTGGAGATGAAAGGCCATAGAGGTGCAGCCCCTGCTCATCATTGCTTGCTCGTGCCACTGCTGAGGCAGGGCTTTCACGAGAGCGAGCTCCAGGTGGCCCCACACTGTAACCCCCTGCAGATTGACTAAGTGGAGGTCTGCTCATGATGGGTGGACAGAGGCAGGGGAATGGAAGAAACTTGCACCATGTGTTCAACTGTTACACCGTGCGAATGACCAATTGACTTCTGAATTGAAAGGCCAGCATCTCGCTAAAGACGTATATTTTTTTTCAAGCATTATTTACTTCGTTGCACTTTCCATTTGTAATTAATGTTGTGCCTGAAAAGCTTCCGTGTTTTTTTTTATGTGATCGTGATTTATAAATACTGAATCGGAACGTTACAATATGTCGTTGCTGACTGTCTTTTTTTCCCAGAGATTGTTTGAGCTTGTGGAACAGCTGGAGGAGAAGAAGGCAGATAAACAGCATGTGGAAATGGAAATTGATGTGGTAACTATTTGAAGTTCTGTTGCACTCTATTATAATGTATTTGCTACTCAATTCACATCCATACTAAAGAACGATAGTGACGCGTGTTTTAATTGCAACAAAGAGTCATGAAGAAACGTCATACTGCTCTACAGGAACACAAAATGCAGATACATTTAGCCTCTCTGTTCAGCTTCTAATAATAAATATGTTGTGGTTACTTAATCCCAAGTTTGTATGTTGAACTTCTTTCACACTGTACGTAGCTAACCATGCTAATCGAAGGTGCACTATGTATGTTGAATTTCTTTCGCACTGTACGTAGCCAACCATATTTATCGGAGGTGTGGGGGAAGGACAACAAACTAAACACAAAAATCAATTCGAAAGAAGTTCGTTTTCAATGGAGATTTAATAGTGCATAGCTCCAGTGGCATCGTAATATCAGAAGGAAGAGCGTTTCAGACAGCCGCAGAAGCGCATCTTTAAAGCGCCGCGCGATGCGGTGACCGTCTTTGTGCGATGGTTATCAAAACGCCGCTGCTGCTGCGAGAATGTCCACGGTTCGCGTGATGGGTTTTGCTCCTTGACGAGATCAGCAAGGTAGCGTCGTTCATTTTTGGCACGCACTTGGTGTGTAATGAGTGCGAACTTCTAACAATGTGTTCGTTCGGCAACCGAAAGCCAACGCAGCTCGGACACGGATTATATCTTGCAGTGCCTCATCCCAAGTGAGCGATGGGTCTGCAGCGGGCGGACGACTACGATCGCGACCACACCACGGCGAATGGCGTTTAACTCTTGGCTCTCTCCTCCTTTCGAGCATAGAAAGCGGACAAGCTGGCGCTGGACGGGAAGGTGAGCCGCGCGCAGTTCGACGAGACGGCCGAGCGGCTGGGCGCCATGGTGCAGGAGCTGCTGAGCAAGCTGGCGCTGCACGAACACGACTGGGTGAAGACGCTGGAGCGCCTCACGCAGGAGATGGACTCCAAGGTGGGGAAGCGAAGGCCTGGGGCACCGTTGCACAGCTCGGTGGGCGGAACGTCAGCGGAGGGTAGCGATATCGAGAGAGGCGCACCACGGCCAATGTTTATGGTTATCAGATCTAACCTAAACATTGTTCATTGTGTAATGGGCCAATGTGCACTGTTGCCCATGGTTTACGCAACAGGAACGTTGTGTCCCATAGCAGCGCGCGAGCGGGCGCCTGTTCGATGGTTGGTGTGATACCGGCGTTACGTACTCTGGAAGAGCAAAACTAAAGTGTAAAGGCAACGTTTTAGACGAGGGCCAGTGGTGACTATGGGGGCATGCTGCTGAAAGGCTGTCCGTCTTGTTTGTTCAATTCAGTAATGATTACTGGTACTTCTTTTTTTGCCAACTATTTGACGTGCTGACAGCAACCAAACTCAATGTCTAAGTTTGGAGGTCACACCGATTTTAAACGTGTCGGCAAACATCTATTGTTTGGCTCAAATCGGTTCACATCATTCACACGTGCAAATTAACGATGCTAAGGACAATCCATGACCTTCAGTTTAGTTTGAATCTCTGAAGCGATGCAGGCTCAAAGAGAATAGATATTGTCTAAACGTCACCACCGCATGAGTTTGTACGGCCGTGTAGTGAGAAGGCCGATCGTTCGAGAAGCAAATTAACGCTTCCATATGACAGGCCCATGAATAATCACGACAGGGTGGCTAGCACGCGAACAGCGTTAAAGCAGACTGCGTGAGGGGGATATGTGGCGAACATTGGCCAGATCGGTTTGCATATGCATCCGACAGTGGGCAGCATTCAGCAAGCCATGCAATGGTTCATCAACACCCGTTCATGATGCAGTGAAGAGCATCGTTCCTCAGGCTCCTCGTTCACGTCCGTGTTGTCTTGTCTGTCCCACGTGGGTTGTCTGTCTTGACTTTGCTCTCTGTATTCTTTTTTTCTCCTGTGTACTGTGCCATCTGCACTGTCCATGCCATTTGTAAGTACTGTTTCATTTATAAGCACGCAACTCTTATAGCCGTGGTTATCACGAGTGAGCTATATTCACACATTGTAAGCTCTATTAAACACATGTCTTGCATTTCATACTGAACTGGTTAAATGTCTGCAAAGAGTAATGCACTGTCTATGATTATCAATTTAACAACATATATAAGCATACAATGTCTCCTTCCTTGTCTAATTAGTTTGCCTCATGCGTTCCAACCATAAATAGAAAATAAATGTAGCCACACACACATGACTGGATGCATATTTCATGCCTTTCATTAAAAAAAAATCGATAAATGGAGCAGAAAGATGCTGCTGAATGCTTATACCGCACGCCGTAGGTGTAATCAGGATTGATCGAGCACGTGTGTGTGTGTATTGTGTGGCTGTGTGTGTGTATTGTGTGGCTCTGTGTGTGTATTGTGTGGCTGTGTGTGTGTATTGTATGGCTCTGTGTGTGTATTGTGTGGCTGTGTGTGTGTATTGTGTGGCTGTGTGTGTATTGTGCGGCTGTGTGTGTGTATTGTGTGGCTGTGTGTGTGTATTGTGTGGCTCTGTGTGTGTATTGTGTGGCTGTGTGTGTGTATTGTATGGCTTTGTGTGTGTATTGTGTGGCTGTGTGTGTGTATTGTGCGGCTGTGTGTGTATTGTGCGGCTGTGTGTGTGTATTGTGCGGCTGTGTGTGTGTATTGTGCGGCTGTGTGTGTATTGTGCGGCTGTGTGTGTATTGTGTGGCTGTGTGTGTGTATTGTGCGGCTGCGTGTGTATTGTGTGGCTGTGTGTGTTTATTGTGCGGCTGTGTGCGTATTGTGTGGCTCTGTGTGTGTATTGTGTGGCTCTGTGTGCGTATTGTGTGGCTGTGTGTGCGTATTGTGTGGCTGTGTGTGTGTATTGTATGGCTGTGTGTGGGCAGCTGGACCGGATGGATCTGGATCCGCTCAAGAAGCAGCTCGAGGACCGCTGGAGGGCCTTCAAGAAGCACCTCCAGGAAGGGCCCAGGATCGAGGCTGATGATGCCGCTGCCTTCCGCAAGTAATGGGCACCGTGAGCCGCCACCAGGAAGCAGCAGGGTCAATAGTCACATCCAGGCTGGTGCATGCCCCCGAACGCGTGTGATCAAAGTCACCGGTGGTTCTTCACGGCGACAGTCACGATGGGTTGTTATTGTTGTTACATATTTTATTGGCATGAGAATGAGAGGCTTGGGATATATTTCATATTGGTTATTTGAAGTTTTACTCTTTCTGGATTTTGTTCCCGATGTAATGTGTGACGTGGTCCCAATTGAAACTTTGCGTATCTAAGTGCTAAATTTGTTTGCGAGAATTTGTACTTCAACTCACCCATGAGCTGAAACAATATTAAAACAATATTAATCGGTGCATTAATTGCTTGTACACCACGCGACAATTCATTAGTTTGGCTTTGGTTGAGGGTTCCTAAAGACAGATTAATCAGATAATTATGAGGCCTAACCTGGAAAGTAAATTATGATTTATTAAATATTACTCTTTGGTTCTATTCGGTAAAGTCACGTGGGTAAAAATAAAACAACAAAAAATCACGACGTTTCGGCCACAACACAAGCGGCCTTCATCAGGTGAAGGGATCAGGCTGGAGTGGAACACAGCGCTGGAGTGGAACACAGCCACGCTCAGACCGCGACCTTTAAGCTGTGTGCGAGGAAACAAGGTGCCTTGACAAAGGAATTAGCATAAAAATTAGCATTTGATTGCCCGACTTAGCATAGAAGTGGTGGACATGCAAGTGCACATGCCGGTTGGCGCGCGGGGGGGGGCGGGGAGTTTCCCTATTGATGGTGTGAAAAGGGAATTTAAGAGCTGCGAAAGTTTGGGGTACCACTACTTGAAAAATATACTGTACCATTGAAAATTAGTTTAATGTTTGGTTCGATTTAGAACATCTTTCCAATGGTTGCTTAATCTGAAACCATCTTCTCGGTTGAAATTGTGTCTGTGCTTGTAGATCCGAATTGCTTCGTGAACAAATCTCTGATAAAAACCCGTGGGTTTGCAAAGAACCTTGGTATCGGAGAAAATTATATCGTGATCACCCACAGCGTTGCAACAATGATCAGCTACGGCAGAAGAATTCGTTTTACCGTGTTTCAAATCTGATTTGTGCTCGCGAATTCGGTCAGAGACATGTCGCTTTGTCTCCCCGATATAGCAATCACCGCAGGTACAACTCAATTTGTAAACCCCGGGGTACTGTCAGTCAGGAATGACATCCTTCACGGATGGGATCAGATCACGAATTTTGTGTACTGTATTGAACCGGACCTGGATCTTGTGTTTGTTTAGAATTTTGGAAATCCTTTTAGTAACGCCTGCTATATATGGTAGTGTGATGGTTTTGACCGGAGTATCAAGTGGTTGTTTCTGTATGGAGGGAGAAATCTAGAATTATTAAATATTGTCTTCGTAAGTGGGTGCAGCAAAATGCATTTTCCGTTTTACGGATGTTGTATGTTGCTAAATGCATTTGATATGTTTGCCTATGAATGTAAACCACACACAACGTGCCTGGCCTCATCGCTTCTTTAAAGCTAAGCAGGCTTTTGAGCCTGCACAGCGCTGGGATGGTTGTCATAGGCGTTGTGAGGCTACATGATTGGCAGTAGAGGACGGTGTAGCAAAAGCAACCGCTGTACTGTACTTCTATGATTCCCCTGCTATGCCCCCTACCTTCACCAACCCACGATGGTGGCAGGCGATGCTCATGTAACCCTCACGATCTTCACAGGCATGGGGGGGCCTTATCCAGCAGTGGATTGACAATTGTAGGTGTACAATTGATATTGTTAGGCTGCTCCAATACACTAACCGAGCCAAAGACTGACGTTGACATTCAATTTCTTTCAGGCAGCTGGTGGCAAGGTTCAACTGTCTCTCCTGTGACCGGCCAGTGGATTTGATGCCAGGACCGTACGTAATACAATCAGAGTTAATGAAGACACTAATTGTACATTTTTAACTGCCGTCATGAATTAGTCTTCGTTGCGAGTCATGAGAAGTCTGCCAATGAAAGGAGTTGCAATGTTCTGCCAGCAGAGAGCGTTGAGGAGTTGTAATGCAAATATATTTTTAGCCAGGAGTAAAACAAATGTAGAACAATAAAACCATATTCTTTGGTTCTTTCGGTAAAGTCACGTAGGTATAAAATCAAATAAATCACGACGTTTCGGGCGCAACACAAGCGTCCGTCATCAGGTGGGGAAGCATGGTCTGCTGCTGAGGCAGACTGTTTTAAAAGATTTGAAATCTATTTAATATTTTAGATATGCAATACATTGTATCATTGAACATAACTTGGCCTTACATTTTATTGTCTTTCTTATATTAACTGGTAAATTGTGTATAATTCGTTTAGCGGTCTGTTTACTTTTTTATTTTTGGCTTTTGCAGCATAGGTTTTTTTGTTGTTGGATGTGTTGTGTAGCGCTTTGTTTTACACGTTGTAACACCGTAAGTCTTCCAATGTTTCGCTTCGCGTGCCGTGAGATTCTTCAGGAACCGGCTGAAGTAGCTCACCTTCACCCTCGACGTCATGCCAAACGACGTGGCGGTACAACTCTAAAACCCATCGGAAGGCTGCTGCCACGTTAATTTTCAACCCTCAACGGTCACCGCTTAATCGGTGTACATTGCTGGACAGCATAACGTCGCAGAAGGCCGGGGCAAATCGTTGAGAGGTCTAAATGTTATTCCATCTCAGAGGCAGCAGCGCATCATGGAAACCACTTGAGAGTCGCCGTGTGTCGAGATTGAATGTGACACACGCTAAGTACGGGGCTGATGTTCCGTTGTGGAAAATCAATGTTGGACACAATTGACCACAGATGCTCAATGCCGGTACTGACCTGTCACCTGTTCAGATGTATTGTCTGCGATGCACAATTCCCAGCCATGCTTTCTGTCTCCATAGACTGTAGCACTAACTCGTTGAGGAGCATGGCAAAGGCTGCTACTGCAAGTTAAGTTTCCGACTCTCTCTGCTCTGCCACTTTAGGCATATCATCACCTTACCAGCTACGCAAGGGTTTCCGCCGAGCCGATCCGTCCGGCCTTACACAGTCTACGACGTGGGACACATCCGTCACAATGCCAAGAGGTGAGCTGCAACACGATTGCAAACCGCATAGCCCTCATGTCACGGACACAACAACTTTCACACAACAGGAGCCAACCAAGGCGATGTGAAGCCATGTCTATAGCCCAGACTACACAGGCTTGTGTGCGTATTGTGACCATTCTAGCAACATTTTACAGCTACTGCATTAAAAACTATATCACCAATGACAGTGGAACTGCAAATAGAACCAAGCATAGCATTTTGGGGAAAAAAATGCATGGATAGATGACATTCTGGTAATTCATCATGATCAGTGACACCTTTGCAGATACACAAAGGAAAGCACATGTATGCACTACAAACACACATTTAGCTGGTGTTCTATTTTCACACACAAACAAATTGGTTCGGTGGGAAAAAAAAGCCCCTTCATCAGCTCAACTTGTATTTTACAAAATAAAATAAATACACCCTTTTTTATAAGCACAAAGCTGAGACCATTTGCGCACAGCGCTGGCACATGCTCCCACGGCCTCACGCGGCTCGCTGGTTTCCCAGTGAGAAGGAGCTCGCCGAGTATGCCTACTGGGCGTCAGCGCGACCTTGCGGGGGCAGCCACACGATGACGTACACGGCCCGCCGATTCAACAAAGCTCAGAACCTCAACCAGGTGTACCTGTCCCAGTCGGTGGACAAACAGCAGGCCTACACGAAGGTCAGTGGGCCAACGCACGCACGCGCTCAACCGGCACTTCCGTGGGGCTACGTACGCCAAACCGCTCAAGGTTTATTTTTCGGAGGGCCGCGTTTTTTTGGGAGGGCCGCGATATTAACTGGTGCGCTATCAAGTGACTTTGATATAGTTTTTAAAGGAGCAAAATAATATAGGCTTCAAGGTTAATGTACGTAGAATGTAAAAAATGAATAGGTTTTTGAAAGGAAAAGCATCCATGAAGTTTGTGAAGTTCCATTTTGTTCTTTTCTTTTTTTTTCATCTTCATGAATCTCTCTACGTACTGACTTACGGCTCTCAGAAAGGGGTCGACATCATGGGCTTGAATGGGCAGATTTACAAGGGAAGGGCTTCCGGTCGCCTCCCTGATCTCCAGCCTGCTCAGCCCACCGAGGACTTTACCACTGGTAAGCCCACGTGCTCTGGCAGTACACATGTCGACCCACGGAAATAGGCTTTGCCTAGCAACTAAAGTATTTTGATTTGCCTAGCCATGCTTCAATTTACACTTTGACCCCCCGTGTGATTTACCCCAACACGAAACATGTAGTGCACAGAAAAATAGCTTATGAACGGACATGCATCAAACAGTGCCGGTATTATTTCAGATGCAAGTTGTTAACACAAACTCATTTATCTGCATGAAATGAACAAATAATTCCTAGAAAATTTAGTTTTGTTATATAACGTTTTGATGTCACAACATTTATTTTCAAGAAAATTTTCGGTTTTCAAAACTATTTACTGACCATTCACATGACTGTAGACGTTAATTTTAAGTTAATTATAAATTAACGGTGCTGCAAAGTGGGGGCGATGACAGGTGCCAGGTCCAAAATGGAAATCTACCGCAAATTTATTACATGTGTAATGACAGGTTAACACCTGCTGGCCTGGAAGGGGAATCACGGGTACAGGCACGGTTAAGTACCAACCAATCAGAGAAGGAGGTTTATCTGGGGCAAAGGTGTAAGGTGGGGCTAGCCGAGATACTCCGGGAACCTGCTCGAAGGTTCCACGAGAGGGCGTGGCCGGAGGCGGGGCCTAGCCACGCCTGGGGGGATATAAGGGGGAGCGGACCCGGGGCTCGGGGCTTGCGTGTGAGGTCTTGGGTCCTGGCTGCGTCGCTGCTCGCCGACATCTCTCTCCGTCGTCCGGCCACGTGGAAGGTCTCCTGGGTGGCTTCCATCGCCTTCATCTTCACGCCGCCAGCCAGCGGCGTAGCCGAGTGCGGGCGATGGGACCACGCCGAGTAGAGACGTTAATAACTAGTGTTGTACTCAGTGTGAGGAAGAACAAGTGTTTGGCCTGTGTTGTGCCCAGTGTGAGTAATAAAGAAGAAGTCCCCTCTACACGACGTGTCGCGGAAGTCGCTCATTACACATGCATTCATGAATACATTTTATATTTAGCACAATACATATTAATTTACAATGTAAAAAAAAGAAATTCCTATCGGGTTATCACTATAGCCATCGGTGGCAAATGGTTTTGTATGGGGCTTTTGCTCAAAAACTGCAAAATCAATCAGCCTGCCAACCCGAACTCCTGACGTCTCCCACCAGCATTATTCTTTAGTGCCCCAATGGTGCACGTGCATTGGCGCTCAGCAAGTTTGTAAACCACATTATTCCCGCCGCCTACAGGAGTAGCGCGTGCTTTGCGTGCAGTTCCACCGTCGCTATAGAAACATGGCAGCTCGATGCATCCCGCGGTACATAGAGCGTTCGGTCCATCCGTTTGTTTCCCAGTTGAAGACGACGCGAGCGTCCAGATGGCGTACAGAGGAAGCCGGAGCACAGTACAGCGGAGGAACAGCGGCGGAGCGGAAGTGCGGGCCGTACCCACGCGGCCCCAGAGCGCTCGCCTGCCGCCGAGGGCACGGGCAGGTGCCTCGCACACGACGCACGCACGGCACCCACCGCGCTGGGGCAGCCAGAGTCAGGTTGACACGTCCCAGCGTGGTCGTTACATTTCGTGTTCTTTAGGCCTTTGTCTTAGTGGCCGGTTTTCGGCTCACGCTCCCTCCACCCTGTCTGACATCGAGCGCTCTTCTTCATTCCACCGCATAGACCCCTTTCCGTCAAGTTGCCCAGCAGCATTTCATTTGCTCTGCCTCTTGCCCTCTTCACAACATTCGTCTCTCCAGATATTTCTTCATCAAGGTTTCGCCTCTTGAGAATATGCTCAATCCACACCTTTTGCTTTTCTCTACTGTATTGTTCTAAGTAGACTTCCCTCCTCCCGAGCCTGCTCGAGGACTTCCATGACATTTACCGTTTTAGAATAAATACTGTAGCCATTTGCTTTTGTTGTACATTCTGAAACGATGGTACAGGGATGGACGGATACACTATGCAGACGAATGAATATTCGCGCACATGATCGTCGTACCTTACACAAGCTATTATGATCTCGAGTGGTATGATATATTTTAATATTGTGGCACTTTGTGTACAAGAGGCAATACGAAATGTAAAATTCATATATTAACAGATTCTTGCTTCTCCCAGAGCTGCTTCTTACCGAGACATGAAACGGTGCGGTTTTACGGACGTGCAAAAATACGTTGCATCAAAAAATGAAAAGCGTCAAACGAGCGGTGAAGCCACACGAAGCGGAGGTTCCACATTCCTATTGGCCGTGGCAATTCTTTCCTGAAGCCAAGCGTTAGGTGGCTTCTCACGAGGCGCATCCCCAACGCGTTCTCAATTGCCGTGCGTCGTTGTCGTTGTTGTTTTGTCGTCAAGTTTCGGCGCGGCCCTCGGCCCGCGAGCGGCCGACCACCTCCCTGGGTCGCTTGAGCGGCGAGCGGCAGGCAAGCGCGGCCACGCTCCTAATGCAGCCGGCCGCTACCACCGCCGCCGCCACCTCCTCACTCGCGCAGCACCGGCAGCAGCAGCAGGACCACCAAGTTGACGGAGCCTCCATCGCGGTCAGCATCCCCGCCGCACCAGCCGAGCCGCCAGGCTCGCCCGACACCTTGCAGCAGCAGCAGCTTGTGTAAGCGATGAGCGGGCGGGAGCCAACGACATCGTCCCTTCACGCTGGTTGCAATGTTGTGAGCGGTGAAATCCACTCGCTGTCATTGTACTCCAGAGCAGGTATTGGAGATTCACAATGGTCAGCAACGTCGATGATCGGAGGCTCTAAATGCACGTCTTTTCAAAGCGGGTCATTCGAGTTAGCAAGGAATAACGTGAAGTGGCTTCCAGTGTGATACAAACATAGAAAATAATTCTTATTAAAAATTAAGGCATTTCCATATCTGTAACTTTTTCTCCCAAAGTGGAACATAGCCATAGAAGAGAAATCTATTTCTGATGAAATACAAATGAATACAGCTGCTGTTTTGTAACTGTAGAATAACTTGTGAAAGAGTCAAAATCACGCGATTTGATTCTTGCAGGCAGATGCCTCAACAAGAAGGGTCACAGCACAAAAGGCCATAGATGATTATAGTTCATATAGTTTATATCGTTTATATTATAGAGAAGGGTCAAAGCACGAAGGCCTGGTAATAATTATAGTTTGAGAGCCTCAATCAAAGTAGAGCAGCATAATTTATTTCAAATAAGAAGTGTAATGCCTGTCGACCAAAGTAAGAACCACTAAATACAGTTTCATTGCATTCACCGTCTGAATGGTATTGCGAGCCAAGGACGCCAAGTGGCACGTTACATGATGGTGTTGGGTAAAACCGTTGAAAAAAGCCGGCATCTCCGTGTCGGGTCACTAAATGTCACAGTCGGCGCAGCCTTTTGCCGTGTTTGTGTTGATGAGCGTGTCCGTTCATCCAGCAAGTTCCTCAACTTAAAGGGCTCGACGTGTCTGTGCGCACGCAAGCCACGATCAGTCATTACAAGGCAAAGTCCCAACCAGAGAGGATGAACCCAACTGACAAGCGGCAATATTTCCACGTGGAGCGGTGTCTGATCCCAGCAAAGGGGACATTGCCCGTGCGAGGTGTAATCTGGTGTATGTACGTATGTGTACGTTGAACTTCTTTCGCACCGTACGGTGGCAACCGTGCTAATCGGAGGTGCGGGGGAAGGACAACAAACTAGACACGAAAGAGCGTTCCAGACGATCGCAGAAGCGCATCTGGAAGCGCCGCGCGATGCGGTGGCCATGTTTGTTCGATGGCAGCAGCCAGAAGCTGCTGCAAGGACGATCGGAGTTTGCGTGACGTGCTGGTTACTCCAACTACATTTGTGAAGTATTTATATAATGGGATACATCAACTTGAATTTTATGAAATAAACATTTTAATATGTTTATGTGATGAAAGAAAACTACGAAGTGCCTAAAGGTGTCTTGAAAAAGCCAATATGCTGTCGTGTGTATACTGTCATTGTAAACGAGTATTTTACTTTGTATAATTTATGGTGGCAAAAAGTTAATTCCCATATTCACGTGTAAGGAAAAAAATATATAACATACATTTTTACATAATCTAAAAGTAGTTTTCTTTTAATCGTTTCCCACCCCCATATTGTGATGTTTTTGAAGCTTTTTTACATCCAATTGTATGTCGATACACATTCGAGAGCATAATGCACTTTATGGTGATGTATCAAAATAGAGTTTTCACGCTTTACCCACATCGGTATTCGATTTCCTTTCGTGTGTATAGGATGCAGTACTTCATGGATATGTTACTGATAAGCACGTCTTTAAAGTAGTGTTTTTGTTCGCTATGGAGTCTCCTACCAAAGCAACGTCCAGCGGTCTGTCCGCTGTGATTGGTGAATCTACACAATGATTGCACGGTTTCACTAGGGAAGGGGGGGATTGCAGTAAATTATCTCATTGTCGGTGGTATTGCACAGATGTACAACAGCTCTCACAGTGCTGCATGCAGTGTGGTACTGAAGGCGGCAGTCATAGTCTTCTTAAGTCTTCGTCGAGTAGGCAACAACCTATGGAATTAAAGTATCGTCCTAGTCGTTCAAATAATACATTCTCACTAATTGAAAACGGGACACTTCAGAACCATAATATTTATACTGCAGGAGGAATCCGATGAGCTATACAGATTTTTTTACAGATGTCCAGTAGGGGCGGGTAAGAACGTTAGAACGACAAACAATAAAAAAATAACACGATCGTAGTGCAAAGTACAAGAAATGTAAACAAATCACCCAAACACAAAAACAACACTAAACCATCGCCATCCTATGTGGCAAAGCCCACTCAGGTATTACATTATTTTTCAGAAGCGACCTGGCCACAAATGATAGCTCAACAAAGTGGCTTATCATTTGGACATTTAAATCAGCAAATCAATCTAAATAATCTCAATGAATTCTTAGTCCCATATAAAAAGAATGCTACAACACGTGGACACGTGTTAGTCAGCATTTTTGGTTTCATGAAATCCTAAGATTTGACTTGAGATTTGACTAAGATTTCCACAGGTTGTCACAGACTCGACGAAAACTCAAGACAGTACACATCTGACGTCACTTGGGTCTACACGATACTCAACAGTACACATTTGACGTCCCTTGGGTCTACACGATTTAACTCGGTTTTGTTTGACATTTTAGTTTGAGGATATACACGTTTACAAATTGGAATGTTTTACCTTTATTTGTTGAAGTTGATTAAAGCCGAATCAATTTTCTGTGGCTTTCTTGATATGCCTTTACATTCTGTGTGTAGCTGATAAGAATTAACATTTTTTTAAATGGCAAAACCTCGTACGAAGTAATGTAAACGATGGCCATTCCTCGATATACGAAATCCCATAAATCGAGCTCTCTTTTACCATTGACTTCCATTATACTGGATATGCGTTAGTACGGGGAATTTTAAAAAATTGGCCCGAAAATGTAATAAACTCACACTTAATAATCCCGCAAAGCATTTTAAAGCACATTCAATGGAAATTATATAATTTCATGATAACATATGAATAATAATAATAAGTCGTGGAAAAAACTGCAAGGTAACATCAAAGTCGTTCCCTAATTTACAAGTTACGTTGCAGTGATTGTCCGTACATTAAGTTGCTGTACAAGCCAACACTTCGATACAGTATATACAAAGTCCACTGTTGCCTAAGGCCACAATGAAAGACGATACATTTGAACTGCTATGAGCTCATGTTGTACAAGTGGAAGCAGAATTGGTTTATTGTCTGTTATCTGTTGTTTGCGCGACACAGGGGAGAGCAGTGCTGAATCATCCCCTGCCCAGGGTGCTCCAGGTGTCTTAGGACCCCCCCCCCCCCCCCCCATTTAATTATCTGAAACGTAGGTTTAGTTTTTTTATAAGTAAGGTTTATTTCACACGGAAATGAACCCACACCCTTTAAGCCGCACTGCACGTGGCAGTTGTGGAGCGGCGGTGCAGCGGTTAGCGCGCTGCGCTATGAATCCGCTCACGGCCAACACCGGTGACGATTATCTGAACCGGTCCTGGGCCTCCCCTATGTCTACTCAGCCTCAAATGTACCTGGTGCGGTGCGTAAAAACATCGCCACTGGGGGAGACAAAAGCGGTCAGGGCGTGATGCTGGCCATCCACCCCCTCGTGTGCCATTCTGGCCTTCATAGGTGCTCGCTAACAGCACTTGCCCCTACAGTCTGTTCAGTCCATACGGGGGGAGGGGTCTATGTCTTTGTTAAATTGTACGATAGGAACTGCCTGTGGTTGACTTGTACATCAGAAAGCAACACGCGTATTACTTCTGAAAACTTAACAGTCGCATAAAGAAGGGACGAAGCCCTGATTTGTTTTAAGTTCAGGAGACTATCTGTTAAAATAATTGCTTTTCCCAGTACATAAGTTACGATGCAGTGGCATCAGGCATCCGAAGGGAAAGCATTTACATTTTAACTCGTGCCAGTGTCCTAGCACAACGAAAACAACATTCGTATCTCAATACCCGCTGGGTTGAGTGCCTGCGCCTAAGTGGTTTCTGCGATGGCAACCCCCCCTCCAATCATTTGAGAATTTTGGTCGAAAATCCATTCAGGGTTTAATAATATCAATGATGCACAGAACTATGAATGTGGAAACACGCGGCACGTAAACGATGTGAAACAAGCATGAACGTGCCTGGCAGTTTCCACCCGATCTGAACCTCCCGAAGTGCATGGCACGGGAGGCAGGGCCCTCATCCAGCAGTGAAATGGCAAAGTAATCATGACAGCGTGCGCTCGTGCAAAACTGCATCTCACAACAAAAGATTTGTACTGTACACGAACAAAAACATGCTGGCGTGCACGTGTGCTTAAGGAGCGCACTGGCCACTCAACGGGACTTTAATTTAAACAAAAGAAAAACCCATCAACACTTTCGTGAAAAAAATAAACACCGTGGCCTTGAAGGGAGCAAAAATCTAATCGGCGATGTAGCTATCTTCATAGCAGATAGATAAACATAACACCGTGAAAGAAAAACCCATGGATTTGTGTGAAGTCTTTCTGCCACCAGAGCGTGTGTGTGATACTGGTTAAACCGGTGTTGGATACTTCACTTGCCGCGATAAATTTGTCAATGAAGCGAACGACGGAGTGGTTAAGACAATGATCGGACTGATGCGACGTGTGGACCTGCACTCAGTGTTTAACATCGGTTCCCTTGAGTTTCGTTCAGGAGCTGTAAAAAAAAACAACCATTAAGGCATGGAAAGCTTCCCATAGTTCGCATTAACTCTGTCACACACGCGCGCACGTACACACACACACGTTTTCTTTGTAAAGAGATTCCTAAAAAAAAGTGTGAGAAAAACCACTCCTCCACGTGCGTCGAAGAGTTGGGTGGGAGGGGGTCTATTACACGGATAAACAGTTCATGATGTTCCCTGGCAGGCTTCCCTTGTAGCAGGGGAGGACTTTGGAATATGAGCATTAGCAGCTGTCCCCAGATTTCTGACCCTGATGGCCCACCAACAGTTGTGTCCCATTCATTAACAGTGATCCCAACACAAGGCACACGCATTGTTTTTTTCTTGTTCTCCTTCTTCTTAAGGAAACATAGTTTCCCTTTGAGAGAAGGCATCCTACGACAGCTGAACCCTGGTCAATGCACAATATGGACATGGAAAGAGTTAAATGTTCCTTATGCAACTGTGTGTACCGAATTTAGCAAGAACATTTAATCCATGAAAGGGACAAGGCTTTTAGGCGAAAATGTAACGAGTAAGAGCTCTCATCCACGACCCTATTACGTACAACTTATATTATCGATAGTAGATGTAGGGGTCTGCGAAGCTCCAGTTACCCACAACCCCATTCTTCCTGTTATCCGCAATTTTTCTTCAGATGAGTGGAGTAAAGACATGGATAACATTGCGGATAGCAGGATCCACAATGTTCGACCCCTACGGCACCGTGGGTATGAGTTCTGTTGTACACTTTCTCTAGCCCTTACATGCAGGCTCTACATCGATGATGGAATTACCACCTTTAAACACTCGTCGTAAAGTGGTATCCGTAATTTTTAAGCGACAGATTGGGAGGAGTGGTTTTGTTGCTTTGAAAATCAATACGCTCTATTTATATGCAGCAAATTAAATTTAATCACATCAAGACAGTACTGCTAAAACTAATTAGCTTATGGACATCACAAACACATAAACCATAGGGACAATTGCCCTCAATTTTTCGATTTAAAGCTTTCGTGACTGCAAGGATTCATCTTCTTTGGTTCTTTCGGTAAAGTCACGTAGAATGAGAATAAAATAATAAATTGATAAAATAAAATAACAATAAAATTCTCACGACGTTTCGGCCACAACACAAGCGGCCTTCATCAGGTGAAGGGATGAGACTGTCTGGAGGACAGCGCTGGAGCGAACACAGCCAAGCTCAGACCGCGACCTTTAAGCTGTGTGAGAAGAAACAGCGCCTTGACAAAGGAATTAGCATAGAATTTAGCATTGAAATAGCTGAGTGATTAGCTTGTGACTGGTCACAGAAATGTCTATGTTAAAGTGAATGTGTATGCTTTGACTTTAACATAGCCATTTCTGTGACCAGTCACAAGCTAATCACTCAGCTATTTAAATGCTAAATTCTATGCTAATTCCTTTGTCAAGGCGCTCTGTTTCTTCTCACACAGCTTAAAGGTCGCGGTCTGAGCTTGGCTGTGTTCGCTCCAGCGCTGTCCTCCAGACAGTCTCATCCCTTCACCTGACGAAGGCCGCTTGTGTTGTGGCCGAAACGTCGTGAGAATTTTATTGTGTTATTTTATTTTATCAATTTATTATTTTATTCTCATTCTACATGACTTTACGGAAAGAACCAAAGAAGAATTGCCCTCAAGTTATTAGGTAGTTTTCGGGGAACTTTCATTGACACATGTGACGTTATGCTCAAAGTTCCTAAAACATATTTAAGTCTATTGGTTTTTCCAGACCAATATCCAGCAGCATTTTTTAACAAGTCTGGTGAGACCCAGACAGTTGAAACCAGTCCCGAGTTTAATAACATTCTGCTGGAATAATATTGCTCTGAAAAGCCAAGAGGCCAATGGAATACACAAACATGTTTTAATTATGTGAAGACAGAACGTAGTTTCGTGAAACATGCTTTCACTGCACTCTGATATTGAGTTTTCGAAAGAGGAACACAAATAAAAGAAGCGAACTGAAAACACTACAGGTCAGAAAAATATAAAAAGTAAAAAACTTGGGTCTCAGTCACAATCTGAATCTTTATTTATACAGAAGGAATCCAATGAGCTATGAAGCTCTTTTTCACAGATGTCCAGCAGTGGCGGGTCAGAACGTTACAACAATACAAAAACACGATATGAGTGCAAAATATAGGAAAGGTAAGCACATCACTCATATATCTAGCTATGTTCATTTCACCAAGCAAGGCCCACTGAGCTATTAGCTTCTTTTTAAGAAGCGACCAGGCCACAGATGATAGTTCAACAAAGTGGCTTGTCGTGTGTACATTCATAGCAGTCAAATAATCTAAACGCAGGTTTCTAAATGTAGAAGGAAAAAACCGGAGGAAACAATCCACGCGACCACGGGCAGAACATGCAAACTCCAAATATACATGCGTCAGGATCGGTATCGATCCCTTGACCTGCTGGATACCAGGCGAGAAAGGTAACATCCCTGTTCAACCAGCAACACCTCGTCTCCGCACTGTCTCACTCACAGTTTGGCCCCACGTGTGCCAACCACAAAGACAAAGATCCCCCGTATAGCCTAAACGGACTGTTGGAGCAAGTGCTGTTAGCGAGCACCTATTAAGGCCAAAGCGGCACACGAGGGAGTGAGTGGTCAGCACCACGCCCGGCCGCCTTTGTCTCCCCAGTGGCGATGTTTACTACACACCGCACCAAATACTCATTTGAGGCTGAGTCTACCTAGGGGAGGCCCAGGACCGGTACAGATAATCGTCACCGGTGTTGGCCATGAACACGAATCGAGCTTGGGTCACTGGGTTCGAGATGCAGCCCGCTAACCGCTACACTACCGCTCCCCACACAACAGCCATTCGCCACTAAGTGGCGGTGACGTCACCACGACGCTTGTGCCAGGCTAGGTGCACGTTGAGGCCACGTGAAGTGTCGAACGCCCGCTTGCAGGTCACGGGGCAGGCCCATGTGCCATGGGTCGACTGACTGAGATGACTGGCCGATGCACCACCTGTGC